ACAGTTCAAACATGAAAGAGTCCGGCCTTCTAGTTTAAAAGCCTCATGACTCACCATGGGGAGGAATTGAGAGTAAACTGCTTTGCTCGCTTGTTGCTCACCCAAACACTGAAAAAAAAATTAAGGAATAGATCAGTCCGAAATCGACCGCACGATACAATGTGCGGAATTAAATAAATTGTCCTTCGGTAACAGATAATTCTACCGAGTCTTCCCCTCTTTTCTAATCACATTTAATTGGGGCAATTTTTAATTGAGTGTTGAACGAAATCCAAGATTGTTTTGGTTTTGCTTTATTACGTTCTCCTCTGTGATTGGCCCACACAACTTGTGCCAACCCCTCAACCAATCGAAGCAAAATTAAAACCAATCGCGGCTTGGCCCCAGACTCCTGGTTTCTCACATTTAAGGGAGTTTGTTTGTTTTACTGTGAGTTCTCACACTTTCTTGGTTATATCATCCTTTGTCCTGTTAGGCCGTTGTAATTACTTTGGCCTTGGTTTTGAGACACTGGCAACGTAATTATTTCCAAAAAATGAATAACTTACAGAACATCCCCAAAATGAACTGCTCAAAACAATATTCGGTTGCAGTTACTGAAGGAAAAAAAAAAACGCACACAGCAAGTGAAGCGGTTCTTACTTGCACAGTTGTCTTTCAACATGACGGGCATAAAATAAATGTCGAAACAGCATCTGGTATTTCGTGAGAGCCTTCACAAGCGAACGAACAAAATAAAATGACAATTCATTAGTTAACAAGCCAAAATGAACTAAAAACAAAAGAGCATTTGTTGGAATACAGGGAATTAGTGATGTTTTAATAATTATGTCAGTTATTGGTTTTCTCTGAGAGAGGAGGTGAAGTAAAATGCAGAACAGGAGAGTAAGGCCGGCAAAGTGTTCCTTGCAGTCTTAATCTTTTAGTACTCCAGTTTTACGAAGCAAAATACGTTACCGTGGAATTCAAATTCCATGTCCGTACCAAACGTTACTTTTTATGGAGACTTCGAAATACTATTTTTTAACACGAGAGAAGTTAACTAACCCAATAAAATTCTTACTTTTTTGCTAAGAATTAACGAAACGGGCCATTTCACCACGTAATCAAATGAGAAAGCTTCAAGTCCTGAAAAAGAAAAAAAAAGATCCGTTGAGGAATTACGAATGTGTGACCCTTCGTACGGCCCCGTGAGTTGCAAAATGCAACAAGAAAGCAGGAAAGAGAAACTTCAAATAGCTGCTGTCATGTCACAAAATTCGTTAATTTAATTCTTGTTGGGTCAGACCGGACGGATAACTACTTGGCTCTCGGTCATGACGTAGCTACGTGCATACGTCATGACTGAAAAAAAAAAAAAAAAAAGATTTTCCGATTCGGCCCTTCCACTCAGTCAATAAGTGGACATTACTGACTAAAATATTAGCTCACAAACCTGATATCTGGAGTTCAATGGGATCCTGATTATACGTCGTTGTACCTAAAGCGGAGGGATGGGGAGGGGGGAGAGGAGGGAGAAAGAAAAAACTACTCAACAAATCTACAACATTACAAACTCAACTTCTGATGAAGTAAACAGATAGAGTTGCATATACCGCAACGGATAAACTGCTACAAATATTCTGGTAAGGCAGGCTTCACAATAGTTTTAATTTTGAGTTTATCTTTCTTTACCTTTACTGTCATAAGCCACCGACAAAATACGAAAGAGCTGAGTAATGAGGTCATAGGGAAGCAAATCAACTCTGCAAATGAAACGTAAAGAATGTAACAATATGACGTACATGTCTCGCACAATGATACTGAGTTGAAGGTTTGACCGGATTTTATGTGGTTGAAGGTGAATTACAGGGTTCATGGTGGTTTCACCCCCTTGCTAGCTCGCTCTCTGTCCCCATTGCGTTCACATTGGCTGATGATAAAGCAAACCCTTTTTTTGATTGGTCGTTGGGATTACTTGGTTTTTGGTTTTACCACATTCAGTTGAAAACTGATCCTAATAAAGTACCTTAGGTCATCTTTGTATGGATCATTGTTTGCTGTGCTTGTCCTTAGAGCTAACTCCAACAATGTTTCCAGTCTGGAAGGCATTATATCTACATCACACTCAATCAAAGAAATACAACAGTAAAGTTTTGGTACGAGTGCATGAAGTCTCGTAATACTTTATAACTACTTCACAAAAGATGAAAAATATGGACAGTAGAGGTTGACGTACCTTAGTCCAAATCACAAATAAACCGTTCAACAAGAGTGTTAACAGAGAAAAGACACAATCCATTGCAAGTAATCGGCAACAAAGCAATGTCTAGTGCACTGCACAGATAACTTTTGAAATAAAAGTACAAAAGCACTATTTAAAACGCACAAGGCATTCACTTAGTAATTCTAAACTCGCCAATGTTATTCCACACGAAATGTGTTTAATAGATGTAATAAAAGTTTCCCCTTATAAAGACGTCTTTACAAAGGATACCATCCATGTTTTTCTTCATCTCATCTTCAGCTAGATCCATGAATTGAACAAAGAAATCTCCTAGATCCATGAGGAAGTAATGCTTGATAGACCTACAAATAATATGCAGTTCTGCAGTAAATGGTTTGAACCCGGGGGTAATATGTGAAAGTGTAGTGTGATCGTCCGCGTGAGTGTAGTCCTGAGAAGGAAGGACTGTTGTCGGTGGTAGTGACTGACGTTTCGACAGCCTGCGCGGAAGTCATCATCAGAGTCAAGTGACGACTTCCGCACAGGTTGTCGAAACGTCAGTCACTACCACCACCAACAGTCCTTTTCAGGGCTACACTCACCCCGATGATCACACTTCACTTTCAATATGCAGTTCCTCATGAGAGTGCAAGGAAACGCAACTAACACTTTGTGCTGCATATCTTTAACAACTTAAAAGAAGAAAAAACCAAACAAACCGACCGAAACCATAGGGACATCGTCCGCGTGTTTAGTTCGTGGACCTAGCAGGCATGACCGCGTTTTGCTTGTGTAATGAATGAACTAAGCACCAGAAAAAAGGGGACAAATGACGTAATCTGCAGTGGTGAGTGGGTGTGGACTTAATTCCTTACCTCAATCGAGCCATCAATGCCCTTTCATCCATCAACAGATCCAAGAGTGTCTTGCTCGCATAGCTGTAAGCCTTTTCAATTTTTTCAACGTATTCTCTCTCATTCAGTGTGTAAATAATCTCATCAGCGTTTGGGCATTGGACGTTCTGACCTAAAATAAAAAAAAAATATGTACTCTAACCTCCAGAGGACCTGCCTGGGCCGAAGTTTATTGCATTCATATTCTTAGATTTGTTTGCATCGACATTTCTCCTTTTTTTTTTATTTAACCTAAAAATGAAATGATAGCAATAAAGCAACTGTTGCATTCTACACCTGTTGCCATCCTACTGCTGAACTTCAGCGCTCGTGACAAGACGAAAAAACATCTAAAGTTCTTTATTTTATTATCAAGCTTGAAATAATGTTACCACCTTTTTCATTCTATTTTTTATCCCTATAAACACATCACAAAACTTTTACATATTGTCTGGTAACACTAAGAAAATTTGTTTGTAGCATTGTGGAGAGTAACAAGTAAACTTACCGCACTGTCGAAAAACATTCAAGTATTTCCCTGTGCTGAGAATGTTTTGTGCCACCTGGTGAATTGAACAATGGGTGAGCACAAAGATAACTTAACTTATACCTTCCCAAAAATTCTACAGCTTCACCGGTAAACAAAAAAAAAGCATTTACAGTGTTATTTTAAATTCGGATGCAAATGGCCATGAAGAATATTGGATGAGTGTAGATTGGGTGTAACCAAGGAAATTCACCGCTCATCTTCTCACACCCGATCATGCTTCATCCCTCTGAATCTAGGCACTGCATTCCTCATCAACATTTTGCGAATCAAAAAGCCAAACAACAAGAAAAAGAACAGAAATCCAAAGAAAAGTAACATAGAAAGTGCACATAATAGGATCTGCCAGGAGAAGCCTCTTATTCTTAACCTTCCACTCGTGAATAGATTCAAACTCTCAGGTAAACAGATATCGTTTACAGTACGACATATATTTATTAATCAAAATTGATCCCATAATTACCTTTTCCAGAAATACAGGAATGTTCTCTCTCACAACAGTGTATCTTTGCTCCCAGTAGGTGACAAAAGTTAAGAGAAATACAAATTATCTGTAATATTGATGTGTAAGGGCAGAAATTTTCACAACTTCCTGCTGAAACTTCTTCTAAAACGAGACCTGGTTCACACAGTTCTGGTAGTTTATCATGGCAGTATATCTAGTTTAAAACTGTTCACAGACCTTCCATTTCCTCTTACCAAGCAGCAACAAAGTAAGGCCTACTGACAGGGGAACTAACAGACAGGTTTGCATCTTGGTGGCCCACTTTTAAACCTTCACCCCTGGTGCTTCCTTAATTGACTCTTTCCACCCTAACATCAGTATGCATATTCTCCATACTGTTCCCTATACTTTTCCCATGATGCTGACAAGAAGAATTTGTTTTAGCTTGTCTTTAGTTGGTGATCATTTCCTTTATTCTCATGACTTTAAAGTGTGACTGAGGGGTGATATTGTAAGGAGAAATTAGATGCTGGTCACTCTTAGGAGTCATGGGGTTACATGGTAACTATAGAAACGGCTGTGGAAAGACTGCCATGGCTTGTTCTACAAGAGTTTATGGAAAATCTCAAACAAACATCTTCAAAGGATATGCATCATTGTAATCTTCAGTGACCTTCTCTTTTTGAATGGAACCATGTTCTGCCACAAGGAACTGCAATGATGGAAAATACATTTATTTACCAAAACATGACATTTTAACCTACGTACCATAAAAAAAAAACTACACAAGTTGCATGGTAAAAAAAAAGGCAATCAACAAAATCAAATAAATTTATTTATTCATAAAAACTAAAAATTAAGAATCTAAACACCTCAGAATAAGGATCACTAATAATTCCTTTGTAAATCCACTGCTCGAGGATATCAAAATATGGAACACAGGCCTGTAATAAAGGAATAATAACATCCAAAATAATTAGGAATTTTTTCAAAACATGTTAGATGGGAAAAAACATAAATGGATAATATAGCTGGAAAAATACACTCTTAAGAGTTATCAAATTAAATTAACTGTTAATAGTGAAACCAAGAATCTGACCGCCATAGAATAGGACACCTTAGGGAGGGAGGTTCCTTGGTTGGTTGTGTAGTACACAGCGGTTAAAATGAAATCGGTTTTATTCACGTACCTAAGAGAACTAACTAAATAATTAAACACACGCTGTATATATATGCAAGTCTCGAGGGTACTACATCACACCATCACCCATCACATTCCATCGAGCATATTACATGCTCGTTGGCATCCTATACACTACAGGTTGCATATCCAACCTCTTAATCTTCATCACTTTTCCTTTACTACTCTGACATGAAATGGTCTGTTCTGTTAATTAAGGGTTCTTACCAGTGTTCTACCTTTTAGGTGGTAACTGGTAAAATTTACTCCCTGTTACAGTACTGTTATAGTACCTCTTATTACTACCTAAAATTGCTCAGATTCTTGAAAATTCAAGAGGTAAAGGACTACTCTACCAGTTTGAAAATCTATTTTGTGCTTAAATGGGGGAGAACACTGATTACAATTAAAACAATTATGTTTTGAACTCTATCCTTATTCCATCTAAAGGGTTCATGCCAAGTTAACTCTTTGCTCTCCTCAGGAGCTCATTGGGGTACTAGGCCAAACAAACAGTTAATCTCAGTTTGCTTCCAAACTTTGCACTCCTTTGTCAAAAAGAGGGATTTTCTGGATTGAAAAATTTTGCAGTATATTATTTTGAGGTTCAGTGAGTGTAAGATTCTTTCTGCCTCCCCTGATAACTGCCAAGTTAGTGAGTACACTGTACAACTTAAGATACTGCTACATTTTAAAGATGAAAATACACAACATAATGCATACTCACTGCCTGAGTGAGGAACAAGCAAAGATCTTGGGATTTCCTGTCCCTGTGTAAATGATATTACCAGTAAGTTGAGACTGATGTCTGGAAAACATTTAGGGAAACAAAAGCCTGGAACACAAATTTTCTTGTAGACTGATACAGTTTTAAACAAAACACATACCCTGTATATCCTACAGTCTTTTCATGTAACAGTGTCAACACTGCACCTCCCTTACAACTTCCCTAAAGTAGACAGAAATTTAAAAAGCCACAGCTGACAAACAATACAAACTTGACCCTTACCACAAACTTACTTTAGAAGTAAATAAGTTACTAAGAACTGCTTGTATACTGTAGATGGTTTACTTCTTTTGTATGACCTCTACTTTTTTCATGCAAATTTTCATGCAGTAAGTTTTGTCTGTGAATGCCTTAATTACCAGTAATCATTTACTCCTTCACAGTCTGAAGATTTTAATTAGTCTAATGTGTTGATTCTCCAACTGAATGTATCCTACAGGGTCAAGGAAAGTTAATACTTACCTTGTCAATAGCCACTGCTATAGATGACAGTATCTCCATAGTTCTCATACAAGGCTGAATATAAAACCACAGTTTCTGCAATGACAGCTGACCCTAAAACAAAACAGTTAAGAATACAATTAAGACTTTATATGTCACAAAACTTAAGTATATCAATGGTACCTCACCAGTAAAAAGAATGTTTAAAGAGTTTTTAGAGCTGGTAGTTCTTAAGTCTTGTTGCTGTATGATAAAGTTAGTCTAGCCTGGAACAGCCCTTTTCCTATGCAAGCACTGAATATGTTCTCTATACAATGTAGCTAGCAGTTTTGACCAACAGCTGACAAAATAATGATGGGAAGAGGGGACCATTCAAGACAACCTAGCTTCTTTCTGTCACCCCCCTCTGTACAATTTCTTTTGGCTCACACTTCCTTCCTGGTCTTACTCATCCAAAACCAGGGTGTTAATTAAGAGATTGGATAATTCTCCAGCTATTAGAAAACTATTCGCCAGCTACATTTGATGGCCTGAGGTATTTTTAACCACATGAAGGAGTATTCTCTTCTCAAAATTGTACACAATTCTCCTGCTTCCTCTGGCCATTCACTTCTTACTAAAATCCCAACTGTATAGCTGCTGCTAAAAATGGTTTAATATAATCACCCAACTCCACCAATAAAACCCACACCTGAAAAGTATTAATTAAAATGGTAGATCTAGGATTGCTGTGTACCTCCTCCGACACATATATGACAGAAAGCTACTAAACTTAAAGCTATAAATAAAACTTTAAATCACTCCTACCAACCAACAATATTAATTATAATAATTACATTTATTCCACAAGACATAACTAAATGGAAGTCAACTTCAACTGTGAACAGTTGGAAGCTATAGTGTATGTAATCAATTGTCTTCAAGGTTACAGGTAATACTGACCAGTCTAAACTGATGCTCTAATTGGGCTACAAGAATGAGATATTCCTTTGAAAGAAAAATAAAAACCTCAGCATATAAATCAAGAACCAACAAAAATTATGTCACTAAAATTAACATTTAGTATTTAGTGCATGCATTCTTTGCAATAGTGAAGTAGTGATTTCCTTACAACACATACTCTGTCTTAGTGTTTGGTGTTCATAACAACTGGGACCTCATCTACCTGACTGTAATATGATCTTTTCACATAATTTTATTAATGTTTTATGATTAACTTCTTGAAGGGAATTCTGGAGTTTTCACACTTAAAATACTGAGAATACCTCTATTCAATATTGTAGATCAACGAGTTAAAAATCACATCATTCATTGCTCAGTTTGATGATGTGCTTTTTATGATCATAAAACTGTAATATTTATTGTTATTAAGAGCAAAAAATTATTTCCAGTCAAATTTCATATTACCTTCAATAATGTCCTCATTGCAGCACATAAAGCATGATTTACAAGACCATGTTCAAAGGAAGATTTTGCTAAAAGAGGAAAACAGTCAAATTAATATAAAGTAATTATGATTACAAAAAGAGCAATAATTATTATTGATTAAACAATAACTATTACTGACATGATCCTGTAGATAATGAAGATTGATTTATTGAATATGACACTGTCTGTTAACGTCTAGTCTCGGTTATTATTCGTTCTGATGAAGGGCTAACGCTCGAAACGTCAGCTTTTTAACTCTTTACAGTGGCCAATTCACAATTTCAACTTAGTTGATAAAACCAAATTACCTTCAGTTGTTACCCCCACTGATGCAACACCACAGTTTCTATAGAAACTTTCCCCATTTTATTCATTAATCAAATTAGAGGGCTATGCAAAACAATAAAAACACTAATGTGGCCTTGAATTACTGTAAAATATTGTAGGAGTTCAAGCTTTCACTGCTCAACAACGTCATCAGGGTTGGATAAGATAAAATATTCCACGAGGGCCGAATAAAAGGGAGAAAAGTGTCATGACTATAATAATGAGCTAGTGTCACTGCGAGAGGATCCAGTGTGATATGGGTGGTGTTAGAACAATAGGTCCGCAAATTCAATGCATTCTTCTCAAGAGTTAAGAGGGCTCGGCCCTAAGAGTGACTGGCTTGTGACTTCTCCTTACACCATTGCCCTTGAATCAGATGTAAAGGTCATGAGAATAACGGAAATGATCCCCAATTTAAGAAGCCCCTGATATATTGATTGTCAAACAAATTCTCCTTGCCATTACCACGGGAATTGTAGAGACAGATTGGTGTGGAGAATCTTAATACAGTCAGGGCTCGACACTACCTTTTTAACTTGCTAGCCAAGTGGCAAGTGACGACTTAAATGTTACAACAATTTCAGTTTGTTTACTAGCCAAACTGGCTGATGGAAATCAAAAACCACTAGCCAAAACTGAATTTCGACTAGTCTGTGTCTAGTTGGCTACTGTTAGCATCAAGCCCTGACAGTGGCAAATGCCTTATGTCAAATTTTAGGTCACATTCTGGTATTGTCTTTACTGGTTCTCTCATCTCTAAACTGGAATGGAAACAGTGAGATAAATATCCCTCAACCTTCATGAGGTTTCTTTCTCTTCTAGTTACATTGTAAATATGAAACAATAAGCCTGACTAGTATCTACCGGAAAGAAATCTTTTTTTTTTTTTTGGAACTTAACTGGAGATCTATGAACAATACTTTCAAAGGCTTTCATTAACTAAAGAGTATGGGGATTGATTATCTTGAATATACCTTCCATGAATCTGCAAATGGTCGAGTAGTGAGAGCAGACTGGTAGTATCCTTTGCACCAGCTCCAACAGTGTTATCTCTGTGAGAAAAGATCACCACCAGTTGCACAAACACATAACAAAAAACTGTTCAAAGTTGAATGCGACCCATCCTACCAATTACATGATTGTAGATGTCAAATCAACAACCAATATAAAAAACTGTAACATTCAAGAGTAGATGTCAAACATAGCTTCATAAGTATGGGGACACACATAGCTTAATGGTCAGTGTCATTGACTACGATTCAAAACATCACTTTTTTGCCATCAAAGTTATGGTGTCAGGCATATGCAGTGTACAAAGTGCTCCTAGCCAGCAAGGTGTACAGGACTGTATAAAATGGCAGGCATCAAAGCCTGATGCAGGGTCCTCCTTAAAAAGGGGAACCAAAATACCTGAGCACTAGGATACATAACTTACAGTAAGTACCCACATACATTCACATGAAATATAAAGGAGCTCACTTCTACTCTAAATTTTTTAGCTAGGTTCCTTCACAAGAATTCCCAAGCACCTAGCAACATAATGAAACACCTGCTGATGAAATGAAACAACATCTCATCAGGCAAAGACACTGTGCCAATCCAAGTGGCTTGAAATGTGACAGGAATGAGTCTTAGGATACAATCTCTAAAAGTAAAGCACTAAGCTCACAGGCAAGAAATTTTCATTACTGACATTTCCAATTTAAGTCTTCCTCAGCAAGTCACATTACCTAGAGTCTTGTCAATGGTGAAACTTCTTGCACTGTACTTGTCTTTGAGGGGTTTGACAAGCAAATATTTTCCCTCCACACCCTAAAATAAATTCAAACATATTGGTTTGTCAAAAGCAACTCCTTCCTGTAAATGAGAGAAAATGGTTAGACATGCTGTTTACAAAAAATATTATAGAACAAAATTTTTGTAAGTTGAGATCCAATAGTATACCTTCAAATGAATTGGGCATTTCAATATACCATAGCATTTATTTATAGCATTTATTTTGAGTGAAACTCTCACCATCATGAGGAACAAAAGATCTTCCACTATAGCTAACTCCTGCATTGGTAGAGGTAATGTACCAACTGACACAGGCTGCAAAGTATCAACAACAAAGACAAGTCAAATTATAATAAAAATTCTTTAATTTACGGTGTGGACACAGTGATGGGGATAGTCTAATTTTTCCTTCCAGTTTGATTTCTATTTGTCTCAAAAATTTATTTGTGATTATCAAGAATGACATATCATGATGATAAACTCAATAAGGAAAAAAAAAACAAAATGCTAAAAGAAAGCAGTCTTAGCCAACTGAGGGAAAACTATGACCTATTGTTTTCAAATGAATTTGACACTTACTGGAGTGGACTGACTTATGCCCGGTCCAGAAACATAGTCTCTGCTTAAGTAAGGCCGTTCACTGACCCAAGAAGGAGTGGGTGGTAAATTCCCTAGGAAAATACAAAAATGTAGGTTCAGGATTTAGATATTAAACTTGCATGGAGATACAAGTAGCTGTTTGTAACCTGAAGTACAGCATACAATCAGTACATATTCAAAAATTATGGCAGATCAGAAAGAAATTCATTGTTAGCTCTGAATCTTGACCATAGAGTTTAACAATCTAGAATCTGTTAGCAGTTTTGACATACCAGTCCTCTTTGCTTGTTTCTCTCTCAAGGCTTTCAGCACAGCTTCTGGTGATGATCCTGATTGACCGGCACTGCTTGTGACAGAGGCCAGCTTAGTGCGTAGCTATGATAGACACAACATTACAGCTTAAGAATCTATCAGTGGGTAGTCTCAGTCAATTCAACTTTCTTTCTCAACACACAGATGGCACATAACCGCCTCCCGGTTAGCTCAATGGATAGAGCACTGGACTGTTGTGTGGGAGGTTGAGGGTTCGAGCCCCAGCCGGACCAACACTCAGGGTCTTAAAATAATTGAGAAGAATATGCTACCTTTCTATAACATCAAGAAATGGTTAGATATTCTAGTCTTCTCGGATAGGGACAAAAAAATGGAGGTCCCGTCTCCTGTAGGGTTAGGGGCAGGAGATGTCGGTTAATTTCCCATGCACGAGATTACTGTGTGATGGATGTACTCCCCTGGGGTGGGATGGGTGGTTAACAGGACCCCCCGTTGATACCAGTGTTCCCTACACTGAAGGGGCTATCCTGTATAAATATAGATGTCTACTCTACTCATAGCCCTAGTTAACTCTTAACACCCTAACATCAGTATGCATATTCTCCATACTATTCTCTATGCATTTCCTAAGGTTTTTAACAAGGAGAATTTGTGGGACAATTCAGAGCTTCTTTAGTTGGTGATCATTACTTTGATTCTCATGACCTAAATGTGTGATTTAGGGGTGATCTTATATGGAGAAATTAGATGCTCGTCACCCTTAGGGATTAAACAGTTATTGTTTATCTTGTAACTTGAGTGCTAAGATGTCAATAGACCTAAAAAGAATCAAGTTAGTAAGAGAAAAACACTTTGATTCTGATGAAAACTTCCAGCAGGTTGTTAAGGTCTCAGTTTGTAACTTAGACAGTTGTTCTTGTTGGGATTATCAACGTCAAGATGAACAGCTAGATTACTTAATAGTAAATAAACTCCTTCAGGTGGCTGGTATATCCAGTGATGATGTCTGTGGCTGAGATTTTGTCTTTAAAATGCACATTTGGCCAAGAAGCAAAGCTTCAATGGCAAATGTGAAATTTTGAGGACAATCTCTCAATCAAGGACTTTATCAGCTCACATTCCAGCAAGCCAGAAGGAGGTTTATTTATTTGATAACCCTCTCATTATTTTTTGTATCACACGTTGACAGCAAATTTTTTTATTTTTTTTTTTTACTTTCCAGAGCAGTATTTGAGATCAACTTTTTAAAATATCACTGCCACTGGGCTTTATGAAATGAGTTAGTTTTTCTTCCATCTGATTAGCAATAAAGATAAAAAAATTGAAACTTTGAGCTGTTTTTTTCCCCCTGACTTATAATTTGCCTCCTCTCAAGGAAAAATATTGTGATAAATAGGGGTTATTACATGAGGAATGTCAAGTAATTTTGTACCACATGACATAAGTAGCCAGTAGAGCCCTGAAAAAATTAATGGGTGGGCTCTAGACTAGAGGTACATGTACCTCAGTCTTCACACAGCAGTAATCATTAACAACTCTACTTTCTAAACATTCCCTCCTTGTAATCATAAAAAAAAGACTCAATCTTCAATAGCTCTGACCCAATTCAAAAGAGAAAGCCATTCCAGTTTATTCTTAAGCTCTTTCCACACTTACTTCATTCAGTTCATGTTGTGACATAGGACCAGATGCAGGTATGATATCCTGTATGGCATCAGCTTTTGCTAAAGCACTACTTTTGGCTCCACTTGAAATAGCCACCAGATGTGCCTTTGAACGATCCTTAGAGTTCTTTTCAAGGAAAGTTAGCATCTAGAAAAAAGTTATTATTTCAGAAATGTGAACTTCAGTCATCTTGCACTATCCTTGGAAAGATCTTAAAGTTTCCCTTACAATAATCATACTTTATGGAATTCCTTATCTAACGATCTTAAACTTTGTGAATCAGTTAATGTGTTTAAATGCTACCTTAGGTCTTGCCTCTTAAGTAACCTTAGCACTTCTGCTATTTAAGTCAATGCTCTATTTTAAGTCTGATATATAATTTTTAGCTTAATTGTATAATTAATTTTTATCTTAATTGTATTGCCTCATCTTGACAAAACCCAAAATCTCTATCATTGTTATTAATAAAAAAAACAGTTAGTTACCCCATAGCAAGTGAAAAAAATATTGTGGCACAAAATTACCCAGGTTAAAAAAATTGTACCAAGTAAAAATAAAATTTACCTTAGAAAAAAAATTACCTGCCACATATACAGGAATAAAAAAAACTAAACAGTACCGGTAAGTCATAAATAAGGCCCTAAAAGATCCTGCAAGATCCTGCAAGACTATTCACCAACGTGGCAGCTTTTCTATCCATGGTCTCAAAAGAAGGAAAATACAATTTTCTAACCTGTTTATCTTCTGCCAGTCTTGAGAGCAAGTAAACCAAAGGATCGAGTTCTCTGACACTAAAAATAAGTATAAATTATTAAACAACTGATTATACTGATATCAAAATATAAAAACATAAAACCAAGACCAAAGCAACCCCAACAGCCAGTCAAAAAAAGACAATACTACAAGCATCAAATGAGAACCCAAAGTATAACCAAGTAAACTGCTTAAATCGTGAGGGAAAAGCATATCTAAGTGAGCATATTATTACTGGTTTAAGTGTTGAATCTGATTTGTTGAGAGAATTAGGTCTCATCAACCAAGTTGATGATGTATTCTGGACCAAATATCAAAAAAAAGCAAAACACCAATTTCCTTTTAGACTTAATTCCTCCAAAATGCTCATGCTGATGGTATTACAAAACTATCACAATAAGACTATTGTCACAAGCTGAGCACAATTGCCACAACAACACAGCAATATATGACAAAAGAATCATGCTACTCAACTTTTTAGATTTCAGTTCATCATATTTCTTTAAAAAGTCCCTTGGAGTTGTACTTGTTTCAGCTATCTTCTTCTTAGCTGCGTGTGCTGATACCTGATTTTACAAGCAGAAAACTGTCATCCTTCAATTTACACCCTAACATTAGTATAATATACATATTCTCCACACAGTTCTCTTTACATTTCTTGTGGTAATTACAAGGAGAAATTGTTGCGGCGGTCAGCTTGACTTGGCTACCAGCGGTGTGTGAGAACATTAGTACATTCATATTCTCCACACAGTTCTCTTTACATTTCTTGTGGTAATGACAAGGAGAATTTGTTTGACAATCAGGAATTGTGGTCCAAGAGCTATACTATAAGGAGAAATTAGAAGCCAATCACTCTTTGGAGTTAAAATGGTTAAGTAGCTGGTTAAAACTCTGTAAAGTAACCAGACTGAGGGAGGTTTTCTCACCTGTAAAATGAAATATTTGTTGCAACCACACTCCAACATGGATCAGATTCATTTATTTAAATTTAGCCTTACCATATGATTAACTTAAGCCTTGATAATTGTTACTTGGAGTATTATTTTTTTAACCCTTTAACTCCCATGAGTGACCAAGACAGAATAATTTCTCCTTACAATATCAAATTATACAGTATCAAGCAGACAAGTGATGAGAATAAAGAAACATACCAGTCAGGGGATTATTAATTGATCCAATACCAAATTCTCCAAACTACCATCCATAGAATTGTATGACAGACAGTGAGGAGAATTTCTAAGTAGATCTTGGAAGTGAAAGGGTTAAAGATTCAACAAGTTTGGTAGGTAAAGGAAATCTAGTTCATCATGAGTTGGGTCATAGACTAACATGACCTTTAATAGAAGTGCGCTGCTAATTTCTAACCTGTGTTGTCACATACGGGGTCAAGTTCTTGGTCAACATTTCAGCATACACTTCAGGGCCATCTCCAGTGCTGGCTCTGTGTGAGACAAAAAAAATCAGAATATTCAGAGCGTTATTTTATGTGCATGGTGCTTTAACTAGACTTTACTTCATATTTTTATTTTTCTTAGGAATTTTCATTAACATGCATTTATAACATGTATTTGTTTAGTCTAAATAAAAATTTTTTATTCTTCAACCAGTTGTAATCGCTAAGTTGTAATGAAAGACATCTCAGCAATGAATAGACTGCATATACTGCTGAGATTTACAGCTGTAGTTAAAGTGAACGTGGAGCAATCCTATGTTTGATATTTTCATGCAGGATAAAATGACCTGTTTCTCTCGTTCCGCATTTAACTGCTTCGCTCTTTTCCAAACTTACTAATATCATAAACCTTTCCAAATGTAAAGGTTTAGTTGGTTATCGTAACTCTTCTCATCACGATTTAGTGTATTCACCTCCTTTTTCGACGTAAAGATGAAAGAATAAATTCATTATTATAGCTGCATGACTTAAAGTTAGCGTGATCTGGAGACAATCAAAGTATCGTTGAAGTGTACCTTTTGATATTCGCAAGTCTGTGGTTTTGAAATTCATGCGAAATCATACTTTCCAAGCTGAATGAAGTTAAATTCAACTCTATCCCGAATAAGCTAATCTCTCGCTACAATTAGCTTTTAAAAAATTACATGTTATCTCTCCCTGAGAAATTAAGGAACACTTTATTTAGGTGTCTGCGATGCAATAAGCCAATTTGTTTACCTCGATCTAGCAGCGCTAGCAATCGAAAGTTTGCAAATAAGGCAAGTATTTCAGGTTCAAGGTTCTTTATGACGCGATTTTGTTCAATTTACTCACCCTAATAAGCCCAACAGCTGCGAAACATGATGATGTATTCTGAATTCGCTCATTTTACCACTGCTTGCAACAAGAAACTAGAGAATTTGACTCAATATCCAAAGGTGACCAGGTATAATTGCCGCCATTTTTAATTTTGATTAATGCAGGTTGGTTGTTGCCGCTGACAAAAAAAGACCACGTACATTTGATGCTTGGGGTTGCTTTGGTCTTGGTTTTATGTTTTTATATTTTGATATCAGCACCCACGTAACATTGTCGGTGTGACCCTGGGATCGAAACTTGTTCCCAGGAGCTACGCGGAAATTAACATGGCGGATTGTTGTTTGATTGCTTGCTTACTTAGATTGATCGGAGAAAATACTTTTTGGGGGAGTCATGGATAGTATGTATGCTTCATCAGGCGTTACAGGGTGGAAGAAAGTATTTACTCAACGAAAGAGTGGGAAAACGAAAGGAAAACTGGATATCTATATTATTAGTCCAGAGGGAAGAAAATTTCGCTCCCGTGCTGAGCTGCAGAGATACCTAGTTTCACGCACAACTGAAGAAAGTCATCTCTCGATCGAAGACTTTGATTTTGGAGTTTCTAATTCTCTCAAATTTTCAAGTGCTGATCGTATTTCAAGCGGGTACAATGACCTACCAGAGGCAATGAAGCGGGAAACACCACAAGATGATGTGGGAAACAAACATGAATTCACCCAACAGAGAACTTTGAATACTCAAAAGACTTCTCCGTATTTTCCAAAAACAAACACTTTTCGAAGAGAAGTAAAACAACATCGCACTTTGAAACGACGACTACGAAGCGAGTCTGTCTCTGGAAATCGTGCTAGGGTCATCCACACTAAAAGAGCAAGAAAGTCGAAGACAGACGAAAGTAGAAAATCCTTATTTGGTAAACGGAAAGTGGCGCGAAAACAAACAGCTGATGCGTACAAACATCGTACGATCTCAAGTAAAAGAAAATCGAGAAACTCGAACACTTTAAGGTTAACCGAGACGATTGGTATTGATGAAAATACAAATTGTGGCAATCAGGCGGGAAATGAAATCACAACTACTACTGTTTCGAGTCAATACTTCAAATCAAGTGATCCAGTCTCCATAAATTCAAAATTTGCACCCAAGTGGATTCCTCCTAAATCTCCGTTCAATTTGATCCAAGAGAGCCTTTTCCATGACCCGTGGAAATTACTAGTTGCAACTATATTTCTAAACAGAACAACAGGAAAGAAAGCTATTCCAATCATGTGGGAATTTTTTAAGAAGTATCCTGATCCCGAAGTTACAAGAATGGCAGATTGGAAAGGAATCGCGGGTAAGTTCATGACATGCTTTGGCTCAAGTGGGGTGGTTTCCAGATGCAAACACGATGAATAATCGATGTCAGAAACAGGCTCTTATTTTTGAGGTTTCAAATCCACAAAAGAACTACATTGGTCAATTACCCTTTGAGTGTGCTGTTTCAGCCCCAATGAAAGTTTGTGCTTTTCCTTGATATTCCGTTGTCTTATTTTTTCTGCCTGAAGATATTTCCCAAGACTTCAAATATGATTAAATAGTCTTAGGTGTGAATTATCCTTAGAGAGCCAGACCACCCCTTCTATTATTTAAGTTGAAAATCAAGTCTCAAATTTCCATGTCAACACCAAACCCACGAAAATCATTGTTTACCCCTTTTTTGGTACCATATTAGTATTGATCTACTTGTTCAGATAAGAAATGTTCCTTTTTCAAATATAGCCAAGCCCTGTGAAGAGTTCTACCCTTTTTTTCGAAAAGATCATCAATGAAAATTGTTGTCAGTGACTTGTTGGCCTTAATAGTACACATGCCAGAGTTCAGATTGAACGATCAGGGTTTGAGGCCTAGCTAGTGTCATTAAGTTTTTTTTCTTGGGCAAGATGGTACACTCCCACAGTGCCTTTATCCACCCAATAATGCAACTCTAAGTTCATTAAAAATGTGATAGTGCATAAGTAAAACAGAAAGACACCATAATTTCACTTCAGTTCTTGGCATTTTTCTTACTTTTCCAGAACTCCTTCAACCATTGGGTCTACATGAAAAAAGAGCCAAAATAATCATAAGATTTTCTGAGGAATTCCTAACAAAAGACTGGACATACCCAAATGAGTTGCATGGGATTGGAAAATAAGGAGATGATTCATATCGTATATTTTGCCTTGGTGACTGGAAGAATGTTACCCCTAATGACCATAAACTTAACTTTTATCACAAATGGCTTTGGGAGCAAGATAAAGAAGGATCTTGAATATCAAAAACATCACCAACATACTAAGCACTGTAGTAGTGTTTTTATTGAAACTAAAATTAATAAGAGTTGCAAGCCTTGCAAAGATTTTCTGTCATTAATTTTTTCAGGTACTTTGGTTCTGGTAGGATTAAATTAATTTTCTATGCTACAAACTGCACATTACTTTTTAATAGAGAAAGTTGAAAGATATCAAGGAGAAAATGCAATTAATTCTCTCTCAACAGTCATTCTCTTACAGACAGCTTCAATAATGTCTGTCTTTTTAAAATCAGTTTAATTAAATACAACTCAGGGTGTTCATTAAGGAAAGTGGGAAAATGGTGTAAAGTAATGGGATATTATGCCAAGAGAAGGCTCTAGATCCCTTTTAAAAATATCTCAGGCCATAAAAATAGAGGCAAATAATTGTTTCGGTGTTGTTGTTGAGTCTGATCAAGAATCCACCAATCTCCTGTGTTAAATGAATACCCTGAAAACTCTTAATTGTGAGGAAAGAATTGTTTAAGTACATTTAGACCCTTGCACAGTAAATGCAGTTTTATATTTGTTGTTTTGGCTTTGGTTTTTTTCTTTTGTTTTTGTTTGTTTTTGTTGTTGTTGTTTTTTTTTTTGGGGGGGGGGGAGGAAGCAGGGATGGTGATATACTCTTCCACTCTGTCTGCCAGGTAACCAGTCGTTTTGCCAATAAACAGTTTACTAACATGACATCAATTCACCAATGTCTAATGTCAGTTCACCAATGCTTACAATCATGTCAGTTTGCCAACATCCAAAATAATTGTAATTACAAATGACCAGAGGAATGAAATTTTACTTTGAGGCTAAACAGAAACCTCCAGGCACTGCTCTTCGAATCCTGGGACAAGTATGAGAGGAAAGAGATAAACGCCATTCGGCTGCTGAGAACCTGAGCTCATCTGAATGCCCTGACTCATGGGAACTGAAGAACGGGAAAAAAAAAAAAAAAGCCACAACAAAAAAGTGACTCTTTTAGGAGCCACCAAGTTTGCAGAAGTTAATGACCAACAAAAAAAAAAAAACCTCAAAAGTTTGAGGGGGGAATGTGGCAGTTCTTCACATGTAATCAAACAAACATATTGAGAGTCAATAGCTACTTAACTATGCTGTTAAATAAAAGTGTTTCACAGTAGGGTTATACTCTACTGGGTAAAAGCCTTGGATGGTTTTCCAAGTCTTTTTCAAACATGATTGGCTGTCAAGGAAATAATAGATGGGGAGAGTGAAATAAACAATAATCAAACAATACTAACCTATGAACACCTGTGAATACAAAAGTAAAGTTTTATTCCCCAGGTCATTTGTAATTACAACTATTGTGAGTCTCGGTGAACTGACCTATAAGCATTGGCAAACTGACATTAGACATTGGCAAATCAACCTCATACATTGGCGAAATGTTTGTTGGGGAACTGGCACGTTGGCGAAATGATCAGCATTGGTCTCTAAAGGAAGGGTAATTTCCTGTAATTGAAAGCTGTGGTTGCAGACAATTTTCTGCTTTTTTTAGCTTTAATTAACTACACAGATGAAACAAGTTGAAAGAGTCTACTGCATTTCTTTGTCATTTCAAGCCTTGGTAAAGAGATTAACTCAAGTTTTCTAAAAACAAATATACCAGCAGCCACAAAGCAATTAAATTATGGGCAGTGTAACTTATCAGTTATTACAGCATGCATTCTAATATCACTGACAATTTATTATCAAATATTTTTACATTAATTACCAAGTAGATAGTTTTCAGACTGGAGATAACCTAGACTATTAAATTACAAAATAATGTAAATACTTATAGAAAACATGTTACAGCAAGAGTAGCCATAGTTTTAAAGGAGTCCAACCTTCAATTAAATTCTTAATGTTCATACTTTCACTCCTTTTTATCTTTCTTCATTCACCGTCTAGTTTTAAATGCAAACAGATAGCAAAGATCTCTGGGTAACTGAAATCAGAAAGTGTTTACATGATTGAAATTCAAGGACCATTCCAGGATGTTTTGCCCGAAAAAACACTTTGGGAGTCATTGAGGGTGACATTTTATAGCTATCTCTTCACATTTTGGTGGGCTACAGAATTCAGCTCAAAAATCTGCTTTGCAAAGTAACCCAGGCATGTTTCAATATATTCCAAAAAATTTTCTCACAAACTGTAGTTAAATGCAGTTTGTAAGAAAATTTGGTAAAAGTGAAGAACAGCTCCCCAAAATAAAACAGTCTATTTACTCATTTCTGAATTTGTTTTCATTATGTCGGCCAACTGTCAGTGAACTGTTGGTGAGCTGTTGGTCATCTGTCGGTGAACAGTCGGCCAACAGTTGGCCGACATATTTTGGGGAGCTGTTCTTCAATTTTATCAAAACATTTTAGTAACACAGTTCAACATGAAAGAAAATTTTCAAAAAAATTGGCCCCCCAAGGTCTACCTTATCCTTAAACTACAGCTAAATGAATAAGAAGTAAAAGTAATATTCTGTGAAAAAAAACCACTAAGCTTTTCTAATACAGAGACCAATCATACAAATCTCTTTTTGAAAAAAGATACAAAAATCTAAGCTTTGTCACTGCAGATCTTAGTGCAATCTTAAGTTGTCTAAAACCTTCCACAGCACATATTCCATGTACTGGCATTTAATGGTTCAATCCTGTTTTGTAAAGCAGCAATCCATGCTTTGGTCTAAAACCCTTATTTCTAACACTCCTTGGTGTACAGATGCCTCTGTCAGGATTACTGCAATTGATTTTCCCACGAAACTTTCCTTAAGATCAATGAGGTTGGAGTCTTCACAGCATTCTCTCACATCCTCAGCATTTAGAGATTTTTCAATAGTTTTCATCTCAAAGGTAGCACAATCCTGGGGAAAAAAGCTGTTTCAAGTCAGATAACAGCCTTAATGGCATGAGCTTGAACACAACTATGCATTTTGTGTGCATCATAATGTGTACACCTGCAATAGATCAGGTGTCATATCAATATGGTCAATCAAAAATCTCTTAACCACAAGTGACCACTCTGTTCCAGGCAAACCAAAATTCTTGAGTGAAAAATTGCACAAAATGCATACTGTATGTTCATTTCAAATAATCAACACTTCTGAAAAGTTCTCCTCAGAGTAAAAGTCAAGTCAGCACTCAAGCCAATTAAATGGCATACACTGCCACAGCTTATCTCAGTTTCTGTAACATAAAGCAACTTGGAGTGAGGGATGGGATGCAGTCCATCATTGTTTAACCTCAAGCATTTTCTTAGTGGTTTACTGTGACAGTCCACCATTACTCATCAACACCACTAGTTGGAGTGTGGCACCAAGCAAGTTAAGTGTTTTTCCCCAAAACAACCCAATCTCTGAATGACATCAGGCCAGGTCTTAAACCCTGACCTGTCCACCCAGAGTTACTATTAATATAAGCATAAATTAAGCCACTGACTGTACTAACTCCACAAAATGTGAAGAGCTCTTATTAGCTAGTCAGAGCAAATTTTCAGGCTTATCAAAAGTTACTGTTAGTGGCAATAATATTGAAAGAAGAACAAACCTGTTGCTCATTTCGTGACATCTGAAGAGAATTCAGAAGAGTCAGAACCTGATTCTTGTAAGTTTGGATCTCAACAACCACTGGACCTCTTGTAATACCATTGCATGGCCTTAACTGACATTTAATGTCATACCCCTGTCTAAGATAGTCTTCTAGGTCTACATAAGATGTGCTGTCAATTTCTTCATCATCACAGAGAATCTGAAGGTGCTTTGCCTCAGCACACATGGGGAGGTGATCTATATGACAAGAATGGTATTAATGACAAAACTGTTTATCATTTTTAGCAATAGTTTTACTCTCACTGAGAAAAAAAAATAGTACTTGTTCTACTGCAAATGGTGATTGTACCCCATTTCCATTCATTGTTAATAATTGATATATAATTACCCTTCATTGTTGATCTATTTCTAATGTTTTTGTATGTGTAGTGTGAAAATTTGGCTGTATATGATAGTAATCCCAAACATTCCAGTTAAATTGCTCTAAACTAAACAAAAACTCACATCAGTTTGTAAATCAACTTGTGTTTTATAATTCATTTACCTTGAACCTTGGAAAACACCATGCTTTGAAAATCCAAAAGGTGAAGAGGGTACTTATCAACCACAATTCTCTCTGTATACCCAGAAGTTGATTTGAACAGCATCTCATCACGCAATGGTTCTTCATTGTAAAAAGCCAGTATTGTCTCCTTTGAGTGGATTGATCGTATGCGTGGACTCTGCCTCCGTCCACCAGCTTTAGCAGCAGCTTCCTCTACATGCTTGGAGACAAAATCTTCCAAGTTTGAAGCAGTAATATACCCCAATGATTTGGCTTGAGCTTTGAATTTACCACAAAACTTACAGTCCTTAAATTTACAGTCATGTGCACCACGTAACCCACAGGTTATGTAGTGTGTCAAAAAGCTTCCTGACCTGATCTGAGCATAAGATTGTTGTTGAGATAATGAAGAAGACCACTGACGAAAGGTGAAAGATGGTATAACTGGAGCCTTGCTTATCACGTTTTCATCTACAGTACTAAAATCACTTTCTGCAAAGTCTGCTTCAGCATTTGAAATTGGACTCTTGCCAATAACACAAGAACTCTCAGCACCACTTGCCTCCTGAAATTCACTGCAAAGTGACTCAAGAGGATGTGGTGGAGCCTCCACATTTACTGAGTCAAGTGACTTGTGAACGAGAAAGCTTTCGTCCTTAATATGTTCTGAGGCAATATTGCCATCAGCAAAGCAGCAATCCAAAATGATCAAGAATTCACGGACATGGGGATTGAGAAGGGTTAGGTGGTTTTTCAAATCATCCACTGTTAAGCAATCATTGTCTGAAGAACAGAGCAAGTTACCATTATGATCACTGTGACCAGAAAAATAAAAGTACACAAACACATCTTTCTTTCCTTGAAGCTTCTGTTTAAGTTCTTGTAGAACTTGTTTAACCAGGTCAGATTGTGATGTGCCTCTTGATGCACTAGGTGTAATAGTAGATATGTGATCTTTCCTAAAATCAAGAAAAAAGAAGAACAGTCATGTAGCATTTTAAGAGTAAGTACCATTAAACCTGTATTAACCAGGTTGACTGCCTAATACAGGTTCACAGATTATTTATTAGGCATATATTATAAGAAATGATAAACAAAGCCACTCTATGCCATAATTGACCATTTTATGTACAGAATCATGACAATGTTTAAAAATTCTACTTAGAATACTTTTATTTTGGGAGAAAAAAATTATAATTACAGTCTTACATTAAAAATTACTTGTCATGAAAGATTATTCTTAAAATTATTTGTCATGAGTGGTCTTGCATTCAGTGACCATTCAATACAGGTGGAGGACAATTTAAACAGGCCATTGGGAATTAGGTAAGGGTGACTGCAAAGCTAAATAGAGGTGACCGCTTAATAGACCGAGGTGACTGCTTAAGAGAGGTGAAATTTATTGATCATACAAATCGCAACACCAATGTCCAAAACAAAGTGTAACCACATGGCCTGGTCTTGCATCAAATGTTTTTTTTTCCTCTGACATAGCCGGGATTGCTGAGCATTGGACTTCATGTCATTTTTATGACCTATGACCTTATTGACATGGCTCTCTACTAATGAGTCTGCATGAATTGATACAGTTATAATGTAAAAAAAAAAAAAGGTTCAAATAAATCTCTCTACATTTACATCATATTTATATACATGAGAATATTGAGTAATACACACTTAGTAACCATTAAGCCTATGATCCAAGAGCCCTACCTGACTCCAACAATGCGGCTGTCTGTTAAAACACTTTTAAAACCAATTAAATCCTGATGAAAGATTGCAGCAGTCTTTGGTGAGTCTGGGTCACTTCCACAAACTAGAACTGCATATGTGTCAGATCCTCCTAAAGTTAAACAACTCACCTATATTAAAACATGCAACTTACAGTGTATTGTATATATCATTCTTAATAAATTATTATTAACAAATTAAACCATGGCAGAGGGGTGAACACATTGCAATGATCACAAATTAATCTACATTTACCAACTCTTGTATGAGAGATCTAAGGCATCAACCCAAGACTTAACACAAAAGCTCATAGGAAAGGCTAAATAAAATGACTGTGTAAACATTTTAATTAATAACAATTATTCTGAAATGGAACATTTAATCTACATCATATCCAAGGAGATTATTAGGAGTCTTGCTGACTACAATTTGAAGAGGAAAATGAACAAAAGCGACAACAACTGTTACAGTAAAATACTGGATCATCTTGAAAACATAGATAAATAAAAAAAACAGCACCTCACAGCCCCTTATGGATCAAAATTATACTTATTAGCCTAAAACACTTAATTTGCTTATCTGAACTCTTTGACCTATTATAAAAATGTTTTCTTAAATAGCCTTCATTTGACTTTTAGATGATTGCAGGGTAGCTTGTTTGATGAACAACTGTATGGAATACATCACTACGGGACTATACCAAAAACAATTCTAAGAGCAAACCAAAAGTTTGGCTTCTTGATGATGGTGACAAAACTTTGATTACATCTTAATCACTTGTAAATGCATGATCAGCCTTTAATTACCAATCGGAGGTTCAGCAGGCCCATGGTTTGGACATTCCAGAGGATTCCGTCGTGCTTGCATCAAACAAGTTGCACAAAAATAGCCACACCTTTGGTCACAGTTAGGTGACCTCACTCCCAAATACTTCGCTATTGGCAAGAAAAAAAATTAATTTTTACCAATAAGTTAACAGAACCAGATATGCCTTATATAGGGATCTAAGTTCATGAAAAGGCTAAGTTAAGATGCATTTAAAAGGAACATAGTAAGACACAATTTAAAAGGAATATAGTATGTCAAATAATAACTATCATATACTTTACATAAGAAATGGTATCAGTACTAACACCCTTACTGCTTAGAACACTGGTCAGAATTGGCCAGTTTTACTTGTTAATTATCACAAATAAATTAAATATTGCTGATTTTTTCAAGGGGTATGTACCTGAATGATTTAGTAGACAAGAAACACAATGGGCTCCTTCTTTGGGATTTGAAGATTTTCTGACTCCTTTCCTGTGCAGTAAGTTCTATATGCAAGAAATCAAAACATTTCATGTTTAGTACACTGTTCTTCCTTACACAAAATTAATGCCCTAATGGTACAATTTGCTATATGAGACAATGGGATTTTAGGGTAAAGAGAAGGGCAAGCTAGTGCTCATACTGGTTTAAAAGACATGTAATAGTAACAAAATTAACCATTTTCACTTTTCTATTCAATCCTTCCATTTTAGGTATTTATAAACAGTCACATTTTCTTCTTTAAAATTTTTACAACTGTTTTCTGAGCAGCTCTTTCAGTTGCATGGCTTGTATTGTATAAGCTATGTCACTGTTGTCCTGTTGCATCATCTTTGGTTAATACAGCATAGCAGACATATTTAACTAAAGGTAAATTTAAAAAATGTTCCTTACCTCTAGTCTCTTGCACACATCAGACAGTTTTGCTCTGTTCTCTGGTGGTTTAACACAGTCTATCGCAAGATTAGCAAATTCTTCAGTGAAACTTTTCTCATCTGCACTTTCAGGCCAGACAACCTAAGAGCAATACACAAAATTGTTTAATTTGACATTTCAAGTTTTAGCTTAAAATGAAAAATTACAGCCCTGATGCACAAAATATCTTAAATGTGAATTCTTACCTTCCGTGCCAAGCCCATTAATTTGTTTACATCTGAAAACATTCCTTTTTTATTTAGTTTGTCATACAAGGTCACATCTTTGTTTTGTGGACCTCTTTCAACAGCACTGTTCTGAGTGAAAAGTTCTAGGAGCACTGAAAAATTAAACCCAGTGAACAATTTAAGCAGCTATTATTACAAGGTTTCCATTCACTTCAACCTGTAATTATAATAAAACAACAACAATTAAGCCTTCCAGGTGACTCAACAGTTAAACAAGCCTCTAATCTAAAACAATTATAATAGTCAGAAACATAAATTCAAAATACAATTATTAAGAGTTTTTAAAAAAAAAAAATTAGGGGGCAAAATTAAAACAACGCTCTATTTGCTGCTTGTAAAAGAGGATAAGGACCGCCTGTTTTCAAATTGGAATTTTAGATAGCCAAGTGGCAGGCCTTTGTTACTACTGCAGAGCTTCAATATGGTCAAGACTGTACTCTAAGAAAAATTTAATGTCAGCAAGAAAGTTCAAGGCTTTGAGCAACAATAGCTAGCAAGAGTTTGCAAGGGATCTGGCACTGACGAACAGGCAAAGTTTGAAAAAACTTCAGCACAAGTACCAAAGAGCTGACTTCACATCGTTGACAGAAAATTAAATCAATTAACTCTCACATGTATAAAAATGAGTTTTTAAAGACCATATCCAGTTCCTTTTAGGGTAAGATGCCATCATGACAAACCCCTGACATTTTCTTACACCTCAAAAATAACACTTAATATTAACAGTTTTGAGCACCTGCATACCTATTCCAAATGAGAAAATGTCATTAACAGGTTTAAAGTGTCTTTCTTTCAGAAATGCATCTAGGTATCCACTTGTTCCACGAATCTGGCTGAGAGATGCATAAGAGTAATCCAAGGGTAACTCCTGGGCCATTCCAGCATCTCCTAGACGTGCATTAAATTGTTCATCTAGAAATATATTCCCTGGCTTTACATCCATGTGTACAATCTCCTGCCTAAAAATACAATCAATATTAATAGGGGAAGAATGCAAAAGTGCACAGTGCTTGAATGATGACCCAATGCAGTTCATGTACTGTATTCTTTTAAATATTGGGGCACACATGTTAACAGCAAACTTTTGTGAAAGTTTAGATGTTCCGTATAAGATTTGTAATGATCTGTCACTATATAATTTCTAAGTATTATTAACAATATCATTGTTATCATTTTTAGAATCATAGTGTTGAAAATGTCTCTGAAAGGCCTCTGGTCTCTGCTGAGGAAATAAAATTATGGTTGCCCTCCTGGGATCACAAGCTTGATCAATCAACTGCACACCAACATGATGGCACAAGTCTCTGTTAGAGGCTCAACATCTGACAAGTTCAGTATTAAACAAGGTGTAAACCAGGGGTGTGTACTTGCACCATCTCTATTCTCTCTGTACATCATGACAGTCTTGGAACTCTCTGCCTCTATCGAAGGGGTGTACCTCACCACCTGCTCAGACGGCCAGCTCTTCTACACAAGACACCCTAAAGCTAGCACAAGAACACAGACCATCTGTGTGAGAGAACTGTTCTATGTGGATGACACTGCAATGGTATCTCATTCCACAGAGGAGCTCCAGAGCATGCTAGACTCCTTCAACACTGCAGCTTTCAACACTTTCAACACTGAAGCCTTCAAACTTAATCTGACTATCAATGTCACCAAGACAGAAGTCCTGTTTCAGCCCACTCTTTGAACTCATCCTCCACAGCCGGACATCCTCCTCTATTGAGCACTTCACCCACCTCGGCAAAACTCTCTCCCATGACATCAACATGTAGAAAGAAGTGGAGAAGTGAGTCAGCCCAGTTTCTGCTGCCTTCGGTAAACTCATACCAAGGTGTGGAACCATCCTGACATCAAACTGCAAACCAAGTGCAAAGAATACCGTGCTGTTGTCCTGTCATGTCCCTTGTAATCATCAGAGACCTACATCCTATACCACTGCCACATCCAGAGACTGCAACACATTCAGATGTCTCAGCTAACAGACAGTTGCTGAAAATCAACTGGAGAGATGGAGTCTCAAATGCCACGGTGAGACGGCGAGCTAAAATCCCCAGTGTTCAAGCCCTTCTCACCCAGAACCAGCTTAGATGGATAGGCCATGTAGTGTGTATGGACGACTCCTGATTACCCAAGGCAGTCTTCTATGGCAAGAGCAAGGAGGGGAAGAAGAGAGTTGGTGGGCCCAAGCTGCAAGTCAAAGACTGTTTTAAAAGGGCACCTGAAGGCCTGCAACATCAGCATCTCAACATCAGAGAAGTGTCATGCAAGTTGAGTCTCCTCACTTGCTTCAACAGCTCCCAACTCTCTCACCTGTCCCAACTGTGGCAGGATCTCCCTACACCACACAGGACTGTACTTGCACCAAAGAAGTTGCCATCCTACTCAGCAATGAGTGACAGCCATTGATGACAATGAGTGTTGAAAATATAAGATCATAAATTTTAAAAGCATTTAGACTCCAAGCATCCTCTTTTCATTAAAATTGCAGCTGTAACAAGTGACTGAAATTTCTATTTTATAATTATTATCATTATTACAATTTCTTTGCCATTATTATCAATGTTATTATTATATTATTATTAATAATTTAATTACTTTTACTATCAACATAACTGCTACTAATAGCATAACTATAATTAAATTGTTGTTATTTGTTGTTATTATTTTAATTATAATTAAATTGTTGTCGACTAAAATTATCATGAGTTTCATTTAACATCATTTAGTTAGTAGTCAGATCAACTGGTGTAAACACAGGTGGCCCAAGCTCTGTCACAGGCTCTTTCACAGCGAATAATTAAAGAGTGTGTATAGTGGTTTAGTTGGACTTGCTTTTGAGCTCCATAAATGTAAAGTTGTGTGAAATAATCAAAGAAATAAAGTCTTACCTTCGTAGAAAGTAGTACGTGTTGTTCTCCTCGCGATTTGAGGCTGTTTTGATGTGTTTTAGTTTGACGCCCTAAATTACTGTGCATAAAATACGGGAAGGTCGGAAACTTCTGTTGACACATGCTCGCCAAAATCGCTCGAAAACAACTCTTAAATACTTTCCCTCAAAGCAAAACTCAGCAGCATGAAAGCCAAATAGTTGCCCTTTAGTTCACCGAAAAAAATCCCACAAAAGTCGGTTTGTCGAGCAACCAATCCAGTGAGAATTTCAAATTAATGGCCGTTCGAAATTCTTCTAATGCGTGGAAGGAACTTCTTGTACAGCTGAGAGACCGTTAATGCGCAGTCAACCTGGGACCTAGTCAAATCTCTCTCAATGGGTCCTCCCCATAGTCTTTTAACACCAACTCTTCACACATACTAAAGTACCCCGGGTAAGAGGATATTGAAAAAAATCCTTTGAAAACAGTAAAGATGGACAATATCAACGATCTAGTCAAGTCGCTGAGTTTACCCGGGGTACCTTAGTATGTGTGAAGAGTTGGTGTTAGAAGACTATGGGGAGGACCCGTTGAGAGAGATTTGACTAGGTTCTGGGTTGGCCGCACATTAACGGTCTCTCAGCTGCACAAGAAGTTCCTTCCACAAATTAGGAGAATTCTGAACAGCCATTAATTTGAAATTCTCGCTGGATTGGTTGCTTGACAAACCGACTTTTGTGGGATTTTTTTCGGTGAACTTGAAGGGCAACTATTTGGCTTTCGTGCTGCCGAGTTTTGAATTGAGGGAAAGTATTTAAGTGTTGTTTTCGAGCGATTTTGGTGAGCATGTGTCAACAGAAGTTTCCAACCTTCCCATATTCTATGCATGGTAATTTAGGGTGCCCAACTAAAACACATCAAAACGGCCTCAAATCGCGAGGAGAACAACACAGTCTACTCTCTATGAAGGTAAGACTTTATTTCTTTGATTATTTCACACAACTTTACATTTACGGAGCTCAAAAGCAAGTCCAACTAAACCACTATACAAACTCTTTAATTAATCACTGTGAAAGAGCCTGTGACAGAGCTTGGGCCACCTCTGGTGTAAATTAACTTGAAGCGATAAAACAACATCAGTGCACAAACCTTACACATCTCTCATTTTTCACTTCTGTGTGCAAATAATGCAGTCCCCTGGCCGTATGAAGTGCAATCTTTAGTCTACCGTCCAAAGGTAATTTTTGATACCCTTTTGAGTCCTTTCGTAAAGCTTTGTGTAAATCAGTGTGCATTTTAGGGTACATCAGACAGCATGGTTTGCTGCAGAGAGGAAATAGAGATAGATTACAAAAAATTCAATATCCTGCAGTCTGATGTAATGCAAATTTCTTGTTAACTAATAAACACAAAGTAAAAACATTCAACTTTGTTGACTCACCCTTCCTCCTCACAAAAGGCATAGAGGGGCATCAAATTAGGATGTTTAATATAACCAACTTTTTTTTCCTAAAACAAAATCAAAATCATGTCAAGTTCTGGGCTATCTTATAAAATTACTATCAGTATGTATGTTAGGGACTGAAAATGATGGCAAGTGCAAAAGTGCCCACATAGGGCTCGACACTAACTTTTCAACTTACTAGCCAAGTGGCAAGTGACATCTCAGATGCTTTTAGATGTTACGACAACTTCAGTCTGTTTACTGGCCAAACTGGCGAGTAGAAATTGAAAACCACTAGCCAAAACTGAATTTCTACATACATACTTTGAGCTAACCGCCTCCCGGTTAGCTCACTTGGCTAGAGCGCCAGATTCCACTGCGTGGAAGGTCGAGGGTTCGAGCCCCAGCCGGACCAATACCCATGGTCTTACAATAAGTGAGGAGAACTTTCTACCTCATGTAAGTATGTATGTATGTATGTACATGTATGTATGTATTTATATATATTGTGGGAGGAAAAAGACAAGTAAACTACAAGTTCATCCCTACAAGCCTGTTTNATCCATTTCTTGATTATAGAAAGGTAGCAAATTCTCCTCACTTATTTTAAGACCACGAATATTGGTCCAGCCAGGGCTCAAACCCTCAACCTCCCACACAACACAATCCGGCGCTCTAACCAATTGAGCTAACCGAGAGGCGGCATCTGTGGCTAGTGGGCTACCGTTAGTGCCGAGCCCTGCTAAGGTGACTTTTTATGCAAAATCAAGTTGTCCCTTACACTACACTACACTTACACTGTGTTTGTTTTTTTTTTCCACAAATCCATGTGTTGGGTTCTAAAATTTTCTCATATTGTGCATCATTGATATAAAATGTTACCTTAAATTAAAGCTAAGTTAAGTGTAAAATTAATTAGTCCAGAGTCATCAGCATGACTTCACAATCAAGCAAGCAGATTCCTGATTAAATCACACTGCAAAAATTCACTCGATATCAGATTGCCAAGATCACAAGAGATTTAAATAGGGGTGGAGTAAAAGCAGAATAGTTTTTTTCTAATTCAACAAATAAAACAAAGATCATTCCTATAACATAATCTGAAGCTTTCCATCTTGAGATTTCTGCATCTTTGATTTTATCATTTATTTAGTAACACAATTATATGTTGTTTATAGGAGAATGAATTAAAAGCACATATTATTTTGTAAGACTGGCCACTTCTGTGTTGTATTCTTTTTCTGTCTTGCGTGATGGCCCCCCTTTGCAAGACTAATAAATGTAGATGTATTATTTACTTGTAGTATGCCTCTCTCGGCAACAACCCAGGAGAAACCTTATAGATGGATACAAGAAAAGTTTCCAGAGCCCCTCCTCATATTACCCTAGGAGGTTTCAAAGAATTCTGTTGAGGTGGAATATATAGCAAAAGTCTGACAGTCAGTTGGGGCCCACTATTCACACAAGGTCTAGCGCAAATGGCAAAAGGGTTGATTCAAGTAAATATTACATGTCCTTTTTCTATTAGCTTTCAGCCCTCTTGACACTGTTCACAAACATAAACGTTCAGGTAAAAGGTTTGCCTAAATTGAAGATGGCTTAGAATAGGGCTTTGTTCAACTTCATTTAAATAACCAACTCTTAAAGTTCATACTGGGCAATGATGAGATCTGACTGTTTTGTGCCATTAGACTTAAAGAGCTTAACCTGTCTGATAAAAACAGAACACATAATTTTTAAGTCATTACCCTCTGCAATTGAGCTCCGCCATGAGGGAGTCCAGATAAAGACTGGTGTTCTTCTTTGATGACAACACTCTGACCATGAAATTTCTTGGTACCTTAAAGTCAGGAAGACAAATACTATCAATTTAGTGCTACACTTCTACCTTTTAATAATTAATTGCACTTTTTGTGCTTTTTATTGGGATATGAAGTATTTTCTGTACATGTACAATAAAACACTCCTACCATCTGCACCTTGAGGTATCTACATGTACTCAACCCTTTCACTCCCAGAATGACCCAGGGGTTTCATTAAGGGCTGGGCACTAGGTAAATTGACTGGTTCTGAGGACAGTTTTGCCCACCTGAAAGAAAGTTTATCTTATAAAGAAGTTCAGTTCAAAAAGTTTTACCTGCCTGTGAAAACCAGTTGCCCTCCTGCTGAAAACATTTTTAATGAAACCCATGATGAGCAAGACAGAATTTCTCCATACAATCATCAATACAATATCAAGCAGATGGGTGGTGGTGAGAATATAGAAAAAATTAATATAAATCAGGGGATTACGAATTGATCAAGTGCATTTTCTCCAAATTAACATTATAAGAACTGTTTAGCAGTCAGTAGGGAGAATAAGTGATGAGATCTTGGGAGTGAAAGGGTTGCAGTCATCCCTTCCCTTCTATCTCTAAAAGAGACCATCATGACACATCTATTTAACAATTATTCCACAAGCACGCATTGGATATGAAACGATAGATGGCCAATGAGGTGCATAGCGCCGAGTTAACTATAATCATCTCATATCCAACAAGCACAAGTGGAGTAAATTAAAAAAACGCTTCTTGACTTTATTTTGTGAGAAGAAACCAGATGTTACAATGTACAGATATTAGATTAAGGTATATTGGCTCATATACCATAATGGCTTAGCCAATAAAAAGTCTTGAATTGCATTATCCAATGATCCAGTTTTTAATAATGAGTATTAGCTACTTAACAGTGACTCTACCTTCATAGACAATTCCAAAGCCTCCTTTACCCAGTACTTTGCTGTTTTGATGATTGAAGTATTTTGTAAAACAGTTATAGCTCATCTCAACTGGGCATTTCTGATGTAAATGTACCGCAACTTCAGTATCATAATTGACTGATACAGTACTCTCAACTGGAACTTTCTCTGCAGATGAACTGCTTGTAAATTGATTGGAGTTCGTAGTGTTTACCATGATTGTGGTGTCTGCTCTTCCATTTCCTGGATTTAAATTATCCATTCCAGCATTATGAGCTTGACTGCTAAAAGTTAGATCATCAGGAACTAAGGCCATTGAAGATCCTGGATCAATTTCACCAGAATTTCTATTTAAAGGTCCTTGATTTGGATTGCCTTTGTCATCTTTCCCTCCAAGATGGGCTTGATTGCTGCCTGGCCAACTACCTAAGACTGAGGTGCTGGTAGTTCCCAAACTATCATCAGCTGAATTCATCATTGTACTTCTTTGTTCTGTGTGACCTTCTGGATTAGTTTCACCAGAATTAATATTTGAATGTCCTTGGTTCGGAATGTCTATGTTATCTCTTCCTTCATGTTGGTCTTGATTGCTTCCAAGCAAACTACCTGACACTAAGGTGCTGGAAGCTCCTGAATTGATATCACCTATCAATCAATCAATCAATCATTTTATTTAGTAATGCAGGTTGTAAGGAAGGGGGCAGCCATAAGGCTGATGTGGACCTACAACGAACTAATAAAATGTAAAACTAAAATAATTCATAAAGTCACCCTATGGTATTTAAATAATCAATATGAATCATTGTAATAAAGTTCATTAGCAAACAAGTCACGAATTAATTCAAAAATTTACATGCAATGTAATAAAACTTAAAAATATACAAAATCTCTGTCTTTCATAGCAATCATAGGCGCTTCAAAAGAGAAGCTATTTATGTTCTGTGAGAGCTTACGTGTCCCATTTGGCCAACAAGAGCAATCTTCTGAGAAGACAGCAGGCCATAAGAACTCTCAAGGTTATCCTGAATTTGCTCCAAACAATCAGAGAAACACTTTTGCTTACCTAAATATGCTGTTAAGCTCCCTTGTTCTGGATGATCTCTGTACTTTAATCCTGCAAGCTGTGCTTGATTACCCACAGTTGGATTTCTCAACTGTAAAGTCATAGGGGATCTTAAATCCACAGTCGTTCCCTGATTGTTTGGAGGAAATTCAGCATAACCTTGAGAGTTCTTATGGCCTGCTGTCTTCTCAGAAGATTGCTCTTGTTGGCCAAATGGGACACTGACTTGAGTTGGGTACACAATGGGCTTTGGTTGTACAGCAGGTTGTGGTTTAGGCTGTTCCACAACAATATTACCTCCAGAATCTGGTTGAGGAGTTTGCTGTTGCAGGCTACCAGTAGATGGATTACACCCAAGAGTTTGGTCATTTCTATTGGAAGGTTGATATTGTTCTTCTGGACCATGAGGATAACTTTGCATTGGATAACTTTGGACTGGATAGCTTTGGATGGGATAACTTTGGGCTGGATAACTTTTAAATGGATAACTTTTAAATGGTCCCATGGGATGCTGAGTATATTGATGGGCACATTCATCTGTGCCTGTCATAAAATTACTGATGGGTGACTGTAAATGATTGCCAGCCTGTTGAGTTCCCCTTGCCATTAGTGAGGACATGGTGGGTGAAACCCAAGCAGAGGTTCCTGTTTGAGCTGGTGTCTCATTCGGATAGTACCTACATGCAAAGCTTTGACCTGTGTTATTAGAATAGAGAGTTGATTGGGCTCTACCTGTCACCCTGTTATTGACATTATTCTGTTGAGCATACTGTCCACCGGTCCCATTTTCATTCGCTACAAAAAATCAGAGAGAAAAAATTGCTAAAACGATTGGCTAGCTGGTTAAAGATCAAAATCAAATATTTAATTTGATTAACATTTAGCTAATGCTCAGGGGATTTAAAATACATTAAAATAACTATCCCACTTTCAATGGGCATATTACTTTGGGCCTTAAAAAAGTAAGAAAAATTTATCACCGAATCAATTCATTGGTATGGTACATATTTCAATAAATATTTCAGTTTAAAAAAGATTGATTGGAGTGAAACCTTCCAACACAGCACACATATATTATTAATTATAGTGACACAAACCGCGTAATATAGGCCATACCAGTACTGTGGGCACTAATTCTTCAGTCACATCCACCAAAAGTTCAAAACTAATTACGTGTTTTTCACTAAATTCTGGTATACATCATAAACTATGTTTAACATTTACCCTTCAATTGCTTCCTTTTGAGAATAATCAGTCTCAAACGTTTATCGTACTGGGCGTTCGATGAAAGGGTGCTAAGGAAGCCAACCACACAAACACAAGATTGGCAAACCCCAAACCTTTACTGGCATCGTAAAGAACCAATAATTTCTTTACATAAGCTTATCGCGCAAAAGCAACAAGTTGTCTTGGGGAGATTTTTTAATTCTATACTTTTTTCCTCTACTAAAACTTCAAACAGCAAAACTCACCTTTTCTAGAACTAATAACACTTTCAACTTTGTGTTTTAAATCAAATCTACTGGCGTTTTGAAAGAGGTTTCTTAGAAAATCGAGCTGCTCGTCTTCGCCTTCGACTCTCTCACCGATGGCTACAAACAGTTCTCTCGGAGTGGTTATATTTTCTAACCTTCTTTTGGTCAAATTGTCACCACAAAGGAACTTTAAAATAGCAAGATCTTCAGATCCTATGTCATCGGCTATTTTGTTGAGAAATACACGCAAATTTGAAAACGCCATCCTCCCTACTTTTCCTGAAAGTGGGAAGTATCATTACTGAGAATTCGAAAATCACGTGACTTCAAGGGAAAATTCCCGTCTCTCCCCCCTCCCCCACCTCAAGAGAAATTGCTCAACAGCAGAATTGCCCAGTGAAATAAGCCCGTTCAGACGTTAGAATATTTATTCGCCAACAGATTGAAAATTCGCATGAGATAATCGGGAAAAAATTCTTCATCAGCATACGAAATTTGAGCTAACAAAAACTCGGTTGTGGTACGTAATAGGTTAACATACATGACGAACCTGTCGTTTCTACCTTTCTGCTGAGCTGGGAATTTGTCTTGAAGCCTGAAAAGTTGCTCGAAAGTGTTCATGGAAAAATACCTGGTTCCTCGGTTAGTGGCATTTTTTACGATTAAAGCTAACTGACATCACTAATTACCACAGCATGGGTTCTCTTTATGGTCAGGACTAGTTGATTGCAAATTGAACCAAAAATTGAAGACATTTTATCACAGATGACTTCAAACTGTGACAAAAACAAAAAACTGATCCACGAGGCGAAGCTGAGAGTGTCACTAATGTTCTTACCACTTTTTGATCTATTACTGAGCAGACCAACGGCGACATCGAATCTATTTGTTTTATAAGATAAAAATGTTGTTAAAGTTGAAACCATCAGTGTTTTTGAGAGCTAATCAAAATGCGTGTAGGATTGATTTCCATCTTCTCACATATCCATATATGCACGTAACACAGTGAAGTGCGTCCGTTTACTGCACTATTTTTGTCATTTCTGCAGAAAACACAAGATGGAATCCAAAGGTGACGCTAACAACACCAAACAAACTCCAAAGAAAAGAAAACATCACAAAAATGAGGTTAGTCATCGGTCTCAGCAGGTCCAAGTCGATAGTACATTAATCGGTCCAATTAATCAAAATTATAATATGACTGCAGTCTGCTTCCATGACATTGACGAGACCTTAATTTGCTCCTAAGTTCCAGGCTGATACCAAATCAGGAAATCCCAAACCACTGTACCGACTGAATGAAGTGCGGGGTGACTTATTTTCATGTGCCATCAGTGATTCCCTTGCTCACTGCATAAGTGCTGATGCTAGGATGGGTAAAGGGATAGCAATCCTCTTTAAAACTAAATTTGGTGGAGTGGAGGAGATCAAAAGTCAAGGTATACATTTTATAAGTATGCTGCATGATCCTTAGATGTACCCTGATCAATCAAAAAAGGTTGATTGAGCCTTCAATAAAGACTTGTAATTGTGATTCCTTTAGGCATATTTGCTTCTCTAGCTCAGAATTTTTTCATCCCTCCCACCTTGATTAAAGACTGAGCTGTAACAAAGAAACAGCTTCCACTGACCTTTGTAATAGAATTGTTATTAAGTACTGTAACATGCAACCATACAAAATATTAGACAAGTGTCTTTAAAAAACCTTTTGAGTCATGTTAAGCTACACCTGAGAAATTTGTTTGCACAATTTATAATTATTATTATCCAGAATTTTTTAAATCAAACAGATATGTTGTAAATATATATATTTTTATGATCATAAACTCAGGGCAGAAACCAGGAGGTGTGGCTATTCTACAAAAAGGAGAAAGATTTGTCTACTACTTGGTAAGGGTTTTGAATTCTGGCTTGGACAATTCAATGATTCAGAAAATGTAATTACGATGCATTAGAACAATAGCTTTTAAAAAGTATATGTAATTGAATTATTAATTTTGGTAATATATCTGTAATAAGTAGATCTGAGATGAAGTTTCTGCACTTAATTTCAACTATAAGCTTGCTGCAATTTTTTGTCACTTAATTTATAATTAATAAATGCATGGTGATAAAAATGATCTAGAATGGTTTATTGGCAGCATAGATCCATTTCAAAGGAGAGGGCTCTTCCATGTGAAAAGGCTAAAAAGAGTTCTTTTCAAGGATTAAGTGCCAAACTAAAAATAGTACACTTTTGTGTCAATATATAATTATACAATGATAATTACATTATTGTCAACTGACAATATTTTTTATTATTATTAGCCCAACTACAGCTGTAGACTAAAAATGGTGGATTGCTGATCAAATATAAGTTGTAACTTGTGCATGGCACCTTATGATGGTTCTTACTCTGTTTTCCTATTAGGTCACGAAGGAGAAGTCTTTTCACAAGCCAACATACAAAACTTTGCAGTCATCATTAGAAGCCATGAGAGACCACTGTCTCACCCATGGGGTGAAAAGCCTATCCATGCCAAAGATTGGTTGTGGCTTGGATGGTCTACAGTGGTACAGAGTTAGTGGGATCATAGGCCAAGTTTTTCAAGATACAAATATTAATGTGACTGTTTACAGCTTGTAGGAATTATAAGGTCATTCAGAAATCCTTAAAAAGCAACATGTTCAAAACATATCCATAAAAATTAAATGTTTATAATTGTCACAAATTGTTTATATTAGAAAATTATGAAAAAGTATATTGTTGCTGTTAATCTTCATTCAGAACTTTGCATGTGTATATACTTAATGTTTATATTTGGATCTGTGCAAAAGTTAAACACTTAATGTTCCTAAGAGTTCTGTGACTGAAGTGACAAAGCTGCAGGAGATCTGACATGCTGAAGAAAATTGTAGAGCCAGGCCCCTTGCAGCTTTGTCTCTTGCTGCAGTTTCTTTAAGTGTCTTCTTACAGGCTAGTACTGATAGAACACTTGAAAACTTCAGGGAGGGAAGTGTAGATAATACTGTCATCATCATGTTGTGTGCCTAGCAAAAATTCACAAAGTTTAAGGCCAAGATCTAGTAGTTGACTCAACTAGATGAACTTCAAACATATCAACATACTGTAGTTGCTTCTAATTAGTAACGTATGATACTCTTCTGTCAAAGATACATTCATTTGGTTGTTATGGGCTGTTATCTGTTTTTTTCTTATTATTAAGAAAGTAATACCAATTTGTTTAATAAACAGTTGTTTCATGTCTATCTAATTTAGTTCAAGTTTATTTGCAATACTTAGTATTCTAGACACCCACACACAAAATCTCAGCGCCCACACCTCACTGTATGGAAATATCACAAGACAATCTTCTTTACTTAGCAAGTACATAAAATTTCAAATTGATATGATGCAGAGAAGCACACATCCCTGAGACTTTGTTCATAGAGGATCAGTTGCTCTTTTAAAGATAAACACAAGTTTGTTCAAAATTATACACATTTGAAATACAAAAACTCCTACATACCCAGGCACAATTGTTACACTTACCCATTGCTTCAATCAAACCAGTCACCATTAGACATTGCCAGACACTAATTATCTGTCATGATGGTAATAAAGCACTACCAGTACAGCCAGTACAGCTAGATCACTTTGCATTTGTCGGTCTTCCACAAGTTACTTTCCGTATTTTCAGAATGGCTGGAATTCAATTGTTGCATCTAGGCAAGTAGGATCTTTACCTAAATTTCCTGCAGCTTTCTCTAATTACCCACTCCCCATCCTCAGGGCTTATTAGTTTACAACATAGTAAGGAAAAATTCTGTCTTGGTTACTCAGGGGAGTTAAAACCCTTTAACTTCCACAATCTGATTATTAATCCTCTCCTCTAGCTACTACTCATTTCCTTGTAAATTAATTTGAAAATTTGGTATTAGATCAAGAAAACAACTACCTGATAATTTTGAGTTCTCTCATTACCTGTTTGCTGGGATAATGTATGGAAATTATAGGGAGAAGTTTCATGTTAATCACTTCTGGGAGTTAAAGGGTTACCGGAAGTTAATTTTGCAACAGTCATGTACTCTATTGTTTAATTTAAAGTTTGGAACTGCCACCTAGCACTTACACCTTAGCTGTTTTGTTGTGGATAATAATTATTAATACACTATCCAATTTTAAAGAAATCAAAGCCAGAATGAAAAAAGACAACAGGGAGAATAATTTAATTCAGTTGTAAAGTTGATCTCAATTTTATCCTCATGTAAAATATCTAGATCAAGACAGAATTATAAAGTTATTCTTTTATAGTGATAAAGAAAAGACTTTCCACAGACAAAGCTGTTTGAATTTCCCATGAGTTGCAATATTCATTCTTTATTCCTCAAATACAAACTTGATGTCAAAAGGTCAATCATTTATATTAAGAATAAAAAGTTAAAATTAAATGCTAGAATTTGTAGTTCCTCTTGATAAGCTAGGGGCTACACATTTCTTGTCTGGGGGATTAATTCTGAAGATAGTATAGATTATGTTTGATGAGTGAATAACCAGTGACACGTGCAAGCCAGGAAATAGAAGATCACTATCACTTACATTCCACATGAAAGTAATAAATTGAATGAAAAGAAAACTTAATAAAGGCATAAGTTCAGTCTTGATGAAAACATCATTTCTCATCTTAGGGAAATGTCTGGCATGATCAAACTGTAACAGATTTAATTTAATTAATTAAGTCTACTCTCTTGCTGCTCAAGTACACAAACTGTATATAAGCTAATTTATGATTGAGAATCATGCAATTGTTTAATGTTATACTGAAAGTTCCACATATCTCGACTAAGTAAAATTTATGAAGTGTACAAGGTAATATTAATAAATAAATTCAAGTTGCTTGCAACTACAATTCCTTTACAACATGATGACTTTCTGATTTACAGAAAAAAGTCAATTTAATAAATGCAATAATGTAAAGCCACAGTGTAAAATTTGAAATTTAACAATCCCAACATAACTTTCTTTCAACACATCTAAAAAACTATTCCTTGTTTCAGAAATGTAACTTCACGGTAACAGGATAAGGTTCCTTTCCTTTGCTCTCTGTACACAATCATAGACCCGTATCTCCACTAACATTAAAAAAACACTGCAGCTACAGCTTAGAAGCTAAATCCTTCTTCTAAAAGCAAGAATACCATGTCAAAGGATTTTTTAGCAGCAGGTGTTCGATTCATAATTATAAACAATGGCCTGCTTGAAACACAAGCAAGCCTCACAGCAAATATAACTTTCAATTGGTCAATTGTTAGGGGCAAATTTACAAGACATACACATTTCAGATTTTCCAACTAAAAATCCAAATGAATAATTTGAACCTACAAGGCTCTCCTTTCTCACTTACAAATTATAACAATAATTAATTAGCTTTATAAATTCCCTATAATTGCCAATTAACCCTGAGTCATTTATGTTTGACACTATTCACAAGCCAGCTTGCCATCAAAACTGCTTAGGGCCACTGCAAATGCTTGTAGAGCACACATTGGGTAACTGTAGTCCATAGTAAACACATCTTCTGCCACACGACCAAACTGCATAATAATGTAATCAACTAGAACAACAAAATAAGATATAACATCAACTACATGTACACTGAGAAGCATGGGAAAAATAGTGTTGTTCAAACATTAATAGTGTCATTACTGTTGGAGCAAGTTTATAATAAACAAATTTATCTATTTATCATTCTAGTGTTACATCCTAACATTAGAGCAAAAGAAAGCCCAAAATATGCAACAGTATTAGACTGTATAAAACAAACCAAAACACAGAAGGTGAGCAGAGCATCAAGATGGCCAAAATAAACCACCTTTAAGCTTGACTCAATCTGACTTGTAAATAACTGGCAAAAATTTGTATATTAATCCGCACAAAAATGTTATAAATGTGTATATACAAAGTGTTAAGAATGCAAAAGATAAGTAAAGAAAAGTGAAACATGAAAAAATGAGAATGTAAGAATTTTAAAACTTAAATAAAAAGGGGCTTACCATTAGCATCCATTACAATTTGAAAGTTCTTAACAGAGGCTTGTGTCACTCTTCCATGAAAATTAAGGACATATGATTGTGTATCTGGAACCAAAGAAAACCACTATGACTATAATCATTTCTCCAGCTGCAGGTTTCAAAGATTTAATGCATCATCACCTAATTACATGTATACACTAACACAACACCTTGTTCCTGAATGGTTTGTGAAGAACACATACCAGAAATTAGGTTATAGAGTGCAGTACAAGATTTTAGTGCAGCACTTCCTCAAAATTATAGCTTTAAAATATGAATAACCAATCATGATACACTTATAAATTAAATACTTTATGATAGATACAAAATATTTCATGATAACTTATAAATAATTTCATGATAAATTATAAATATTCTGTGATTAAATCACAAAATATTTCAAAAACATAAATTTAGTTTGTCTGTAACAATCAATTACTTCGTGAAATGACTACATCATAAAAAACACTCACTATTTTTCTGACCCACTGAAAAGTGTTTTGAGTAATTTGAATTGCACCCAGGATATGTAAAGACAAATGTTGGTAAGTCATTTTGTTTCCAATACAAAAAAAAAATTAAAATTGCATATGGTTACTCATGTTTTTTGAAAGGTTTTCAAGTTGAACTTCCCTTTACAGTTCACCAATCTCAAAAAGTTTTGAAACATCACTGATGTTCACAGATCAAAAAATACCAAACCATTAAGCTTACTCTTCATACACAATGTTATGAATAAAATCATGTTTACCATCATTCCAAACAGGAGTTTTGTTATGTAGCTCCAACAGATTCTCCATTTTCTTGTTCTTGTATCTTTCCAATAAACCATCACTGTCCTGGAACCAAAATAAATAACATTAAAAGTAACTTGAAACAAGTTTAACTTATAAACACTTTGATACACTGTACAACTGCTACAGAATTATTATTCCTAACCCTGTTACCCACTGTATCCATTCTGCTAATAGTGATGAATATTGTGAGCCAGACACACGTCAAGATAAACATAAAAAAATTGACTGTCAAAAACAATCATTATTAATAACTAACAAATTAGGTATTAATTTTACAACACTTCAAAAGAAACTAATTTTAAGGAGATTTTAAGAACAAATTATAAATCATACCGAAATGGGTCTCACTGGTATTCTCTGGTGATCAATCCCCATTTTCGGAAGAATTACTGTCATTTTGCGAGGACCTTTAAATCCAAGAACATTTGTATCCTACAGAATAAACAAAAGATTTTTAGAGAAACTACACGTGTTCTGTTCATTATCAGGTTGACTCTCTCACAGAACAAATACAGCAGTCAGCAATGTGATGGAACACTACAGTATGTAATCTTATCAGAGCATTACCTAAAGTGCTTTCCATACTAAAAGTAGTTTCCAAGGGTTTTGCATAAACAGTTGATAATTAAATGAGAGCATGGGGTTCTTGTAAGGGATACAAGCAAAGTGCCAGGAGATAAAAGAACTTCTTTACGAATGCTGTCTGGATGGGTCCAGTTGATGTAGCCCTTGTTCCATTTCTATGGGTTCCCAAACTGATGCCTTGTGCACACATTTACTACCACTACTACCATTTTACAAAATAATCTGTTCATAACAGCAAAAAGAATAGTGTGTAAACTTACATTATGCCTGATATTTATAACGATTAACCTAAGAGATCAATGCCAAATCCCTGGCTCAATAGCCAAAATGGAGAGTTTTATGGCTAGAAAAAGCTCTCTTGAATGCACTTTTCAATAGCCAAGAAAATAGGTAGTTAATGAAGTGTGAAAACAGCCAAAATATTCAACTACATGTTTTGTACTTACAGTTGACATACAAAAGACATTGCACACTCAGCTTTTGCTGCTGGTATGGATAAAGGTACATTGTACTTGGATCTATTCTACCAAGAAGTTTTTACTACTTGTTGTCTCCATGCTCTGCGGTACTTACATAAACAATAGCTGCCACTTCTTCCCTAATATTTGAACCATCAGACATGACTCCTCCTTTTTTGGGATTCACGCCACTGTTGAACACTGTAAATCTTGTCCCTACTAAATTGGATCTGTAACAACAAACAAAACAAAACAAAGATTGAGAATCTTGAATTTTCCCATTCTGACTAGTAATGGAAGTAAATGAATCATAACATCAAACACATAAAACACATATTTGTGGAGCTTCTACAGAGCCTAAAATAATATCCTATTAAAAGTTGTGATAGCATTAATTTAAAAAAATTTGTATGTCTCAATCATTTCAAACAAAGAAAAATTTGGAACATATGATGAAGGCATCATTAATTGCAGTATGGCAGAAGATGCAAAGTGTCCATATTCTGAGACCAGTGATTACATAATTCCAACTTTCTTTTATAACAGCTTTATTGTAATCGTAATCGTAATTCACATTATATTACATTACATTACATTACAATTGGGTTATAGAGGGAGGAACTTAATCCCCATATTAACTATACCCCATATTTTAATTATCATAAATTACATATATCTAAATAGATACAAATACTTTAACAATACATGCATGCATAAGAATTTTTAAAATATGTTGTAGATATATAAATCATTTAAAATAGACTTTTTTCAATGCTTTTTTAAAGCTATTTACAGATTCATGATCTACGACAGATGATGGTAGCTTATTCCAACAATCAATATATCTATTCCAGAAAAAATATCTAAATACATCCGTGCGAAAAAAAGGCTTGTGAAGTTTATAAGAGTGGGAGTTTCTAGATTTCCTATTACTGAAAGACATAGTATCATTAATGTTTCCAGCAGAATATCCCTTTATAAACTTGAAAAGCTGGACTAAGCCCAGGAATTCTCTACGATGAGCAAATGTTGGAAGATTGAGGGATTTTAGACGATCTTCGTAGGAAGTGTCTTTGCCAGTGATCCATCTTGTAATATTTCTTTGAACCTGTTCAAGTTTATTGATCAAGTATACTCAAGTATTGGTCTAATCATAACTTTGTAGCCCTTGACTTTCCACAATATTAATTGTATTTACAGCCAATTATTCTTTTCAGAGGTCATAAAATGGTGTAATGTAAGAATGAGAGTGAGCAGCCTCCACTAGCAATGTATAGTACTTCAATAAAGGTACTATACTTTTAAGTAATGTAACCTAATTAGTGATATCATAAGTAATATTGCTTAACAAACATATTGTTAGTAATGCAAGGCAATCATTCAATAGTTAACAATTATTCGCGGAAGGCGAGGTGAATATCGTTGAATAATCCCCGAGACAAAGTTGAGGGGATTATTCGACAATATTCACCGAACCCGAGGTGAATAATTGTTTTAGTATAATTTCAGAGCTGAACAACAGAGAAATTTCTAAAATCATAACATTTTAGTAACATTTTTTATTTTAACATTTTATGTAAACCGCGTGTAGTTGTTTACATAGCGTCATATAAGGAACCGCTCGACCAATCAGACTGCTGGAAACTCTTTGCTCAGCTCTGAAATAATACTAACATCGGATATTAGCATATATAGTTTAATTAATAGTAATTTGTAAGTAGAGTAATGTAATTGATAGCATTACAAGTATTGTATTGTAGATTTGTATTAGTATTAATTGTATCATCCACTTTGAATCATTCACTTTAAAAGATTGTTTGATTGAAAGCCAGCCTGATAAAAATAAAACATACCTTAATTTTCCAATAAAACTCTCTCCACCTCTTGACAAGTCAGTTGCATCTGTACTTATTAGATAGTTGGAGGTTGTGCTCTTCTTCCTCTTGCGACCAGCCAGGAGGAATATCTGATTTAAATTCAAATAACACATTATTTATTTAAAACAAGTCAACTTTAGTTGGTAAATGCAATTTTAATTTATATAAAAAGTTCACTCTGTTTCACAGCATCAACTTTCTACAAAAAAAAAAAAGCAAGCAAGCATATATTTATGGTTTGCTTTCAGCTGTACAACAATGAATTCTTCACTCAATTTTGTCACCAAACCATATACAATACTTAAGCAGTACCTTCTTCCCATCATCTTTCTCCATGTGCAGGAAATAAGTTGGATACATCCCTCTATCCATTCCTTTCTTGTCTCTTGTTATTCTACATTTAATTGGAGGTTCATCTGGCTGGGCAGGTCTATTGAATAATAATAATAATAATAATAATAATAATAATAAATTGACTAAAAAGAAACTACAAATGAAGTGTTGGCTTGCTACTGGAAGCATTGATTTTTGAAAGGCATTACTGTGCACAAGTAGAACTGACTTTCTAGATGACTGCAGAGCTGTGGAATTACCTCAGGTTCTTTATTTGAACTCCAAATTAATTAATAACAATTACTCTGACCATCTTTTTCCTAAGAGTTTAGAATTTAACCAAGGTTATGCTAAGAAATTCAAGCCTGCTATGAAAATTCAAACTTACCGAAACACAAACTTATCAAGATCATCTATCATTTCTAAATTTGTGCTAGGAGTTGTTGTGGTTGTGTTTGGTGGTGATTCTCCATTGCTGGAAGGTACCTATGACGTCAGGGAAAATGTTCAAAAACAGGTACCTTGCAGACCACCGATTTCTTTAAATGACTATATGTACATTTTTTATATCAACTTTAACTTACTTTCAAAAAGTAGTCACCAAACAAAACTTAATAATAATGACAAAATTGTTCACCGTTGATTGTATCTGTGAACTTAACACTTCTGACTCTTGCAGGTACATTTACTATAGGAGAATGTCCCTCTTGAAGGATTTGTAAACAGAGTCCTCCACAATTACTGAAGCAATACGCTGTATGACTACACTGACGTAAGTCTAATGTCTCACCAAACACTATCCCACTAATCACCTTTTAGTAAAGATGAATCTGAAATTTGTCATTACAAAAAACTGAGTCCATATTGGATAAAAAGGGATTACCAAAAAGGAAACAGAGATATCTTGCAAAATCTCCTTGATGCACCACTGGTGTACTTATTGTAGAAATCTTCTCAGGACAGGAATTATCATAATATGGATAACACAAAAATGTACAACAGAACAGGTGTTGTTTAAAATCATAAAACTGCAAACTTTAAAGTTAACTACAGCTGTACCTTTTTTTGTTTGGTCACAGAGTCATATGAGGGTGGAAGAGCACTAGACTGGAAGCTTGGAGATGGGGTTCTTGGCCTTGCAGGTGCTATCACCTGAGAGGAATACTCTGGTTCATCCAAATCATCCTTGATCCCAGCATAATCTGCACTAGATGATATGCCCATTGCAGCTAATTTCCGTTCTGTATCCGTTGTTTGCTGAAAACAACATTAGAAATGCTCAAAATTAAATTTTTCTTGATGCTTGGTGAGATGTAATTATGGAACTATTCATGTAGTCGTCTAAAAATGCTGAGCTTTGTTGTCTCATTTACAAGTATACTACATGACTTTGTACAACAGGAGATCAAGTTTTGAATTGACTTTCTGTAAGGTACTACAGTGTGGGTCCCCTGTTAGAGGCTTAAAAATTGAGTATCAAATGACAACCATTAGATGGCAAAATTGCTGGTTTTAGGTATACTTTAAGTGCTGCTAGGATCAAATTTCACTCTGTCAAAACTAAGGGGAATCATACAGAAATTTATAGAAGATTAAAAAATAATGGTGTTTTCCAGCATCTCTCAAAAAGTTCAGAAACCCACTGTACAGCCTGGACTCCCTATGTTCAAATATTGAATGACTTTATTTTTTTCTTCACTTCACTGATTCTCAAATTTTAGGAACTAAAATATCCCAGCAAGTCAGCCCACTTTGCTTCTCATAAAATTTTCTTAATGATAGGCAAAAATGGACCAAAGAGAAACTTCATGAGCTTTGCAATTTATGGGGAGCTAGTGATCTATCAAAGAGGTATATGAGATAAATTATATAAAAAATACTGAAAGCTGTGTTGCAACTCACTTTCGCCCGTGAAAGTGGTTCTTCTTCTTCCTCTGATCCAACATTAACAAGTAAACCACCCACAACAGGTTCTGGAGGAGCAGTGTAAGTATTCGCTGCACCATCTATACCTAATTAAAAAAAAACCCATGCACAGAATACAAATAATTAATTAAAAATAACGATCAGAATTGGGCACTCATAAGGACTTCAAACACATCATAGTAATTAGAAATTATCTTTCACTTTTAACACAGAGTGACATAAAACTGCTACATAAATTATGACCAAATTAATCTTTTAACCTATTGATGTCCCGTGCGCCCGTAAACGCCCATGTGGTACCACACCCTTTCTACGCCTTGTGACGTCATCACTTTTAACCCTGGAGCACGATATTGAGCACGTACTTGAACAGGTTGAAAATATCTTACAAACGACACCAGAATGAGCGCAACTAAGTGAAGGACACTGGAGAAATAGCCAAAAAACCATGTAACTTTGACCTGAAAATCTGCACAAAAATCTTTTTCCATTACCCACCTACCTTTCTGAGCATGTGGTTTGAAAATAATGAGTAGTTTCCTGAAAAATCTCTACACCAAAATGAAGCCTACTAAATTTCCAGCCAGTGACGAGAAAATTCAGGCAATGAAAGGGAAAAAAAAGGCCAAGAGAAAGACAGAACAGTAAAAGTCGTAAGCGAGGTATCACTTTTCAACCCAAAACCTATCTCGAAATTTTGCTTTCTGTGCCTGCCTAAGATTTTCAGGCCGCCATTTTGCATTTGGATCGAAAGGCCGTCAAGTGTACAAGCTGTGAATGGGTTTCTGGTAAGTTTGAGCTTTTAAAACCACAACAGTGACCCGAAATCTGCTCGACTAGCTTCAAAACGCAGTTTTTCACAAAAGCTGCAGCTATTAATGGGTTAAAGTGCATATGACACAAAATTTCTTTCTCTTGTTTCTTGTAGTTGGATATCTAGAGAAAATGTTTCAAAGCTTTAAAAGTGCTGGAAAAATGTAAAAAGCATTTTTTTTTTGCTTTCAAAGTATGCGCAATTTGCCTTCAAATTTGTCCCGGAGACTGGGACCTAGTTTATCACCGTCGAAGTTATTCATGACGTCACACTGTGTACCTTTGCCGCAAAGGTCTGTTGTCACTAAGAGGATTCTGCAGTACTTTGTAGTAGATAGATAGTGCATTGAAAGGCAAAGATGTCCAGTGATTCTAACAATTCCTTTGAGTCCAACTCTTCTGAAAGTTCCATTGAGGTACAAAATGTGACATCACGTTACGATATCAAGTGTGATTTTGGCTGCGCGATGACCAGGACAAATTTGAAGGCAAATTGTGTGTATTTTGAAAGCACAAAAAAATGCTTTTTAGATTTTTCCAGCATTTTTAAGGCTTCAAATGTTTTCTGTAGATATCCAACTACAAGAAACAAGAGAAAAAAATTTCATGTCATAATTAGGCACTTTAAGTTAAAAAAAAATTGTTATAATAGGAATTTCCCCTAAGATTACAATTATAATGATCATGTTCACCCAAGGGCATCCTTATGGCGTATTGTATTTACAACTGTGTAGTCTTGTATGCAGTAAACAGAGTCCCAAATGCACTAGTGTGCAACCAAGATATATATCACTGATCAGTGTATCACAACCACAATGTTAACAATCTCACCATGTAATTGTGTTCCACCAAGAACAAGAGGCATTCTTTCAGAATGGCGGGACATTGGACGCGCAACTTCATTGGCTTGGACCATTCCTTGAACCAAATAACATGTCAATGAAACTATAACTGCATAAGAAACAGTGACACATGCAAGTTGGTTGTTCGCATTTTCTTTGTGAACAAAGGTTTAATTTACCAAAAACTCCAAACACATCAAAACTTAAGAGAGATCATTGCCATGCTTAACAGTAAAATAAACATTTCTGGTAACAATTTAACTGTTTGAGATGTGTAAAATCATTAAATAAAATGAAAAATGTTACTATCTGACTGAAAAGTTTCACCTCCACTGTAAATTTGTTTCAACATTACCCTTAAGTGTAGTGATTCTGTCTCATTATAAATTAAAATAAATGGAAACAAAGATAGCTGCTGCCTGAAAAAACATTAAACACTCTAAAAGGTTATAAATCACAGCCAAAGGCTTTCCAAGTGTTCTTCCAACATCCCAAGTGGCTTTATCATATTATCGAGCCTGGAAAAAACTATTCTATTGCTTTTCTGACAGACATAACATGCAGGCTCTAAAACCTGATAATTAGCATCCATCAGGAAACTGAATTGGCCAATCAGATCATGCATACTATTACTTCATTATGTTATAAGCACCAATAGAAACATAGACAAATTACTCTGCTCTGTTTCACCTTACATTACTATTTTTTTTTTCCACAAAGAGTGAGAATTTTAAAATAATGCAATGCCTCTCAATCTAACTGACATCCTCACAGTTTGTTGCTAATTGTCACAGAAAATGTTTAGAATTGAATATTTGATCTTTTCAAAGCTAACTATATACCGAGTTTAGTTAAAAAAGAAAACAAAAGGTCTTGTGATAGCAATTAATTCCCTTCCTGTGCCACTTGATGAATTCATCTATGTTTTAGTGTATCAACTTTCAGTGCACACACACATTGCAATTAATCCCATGTTAGGTATCATACAACTTAGACACATTTATGACAGTGCATTTTCAAATTTCACTCCCACACATACAATCATGCAGTTAGTAAGAATATACACCAGCAGGTGTTTTGCACAAGTGTCAGTAGAGATATATTCACATACAATGTACACTAATGAACAAGATAGCTGCAATGCTCTTTATAAAAAGGGAATAAAATGGCCAGGTTTAGATAGCAGTCTGTTTGGTCTAAAAACCCTGCACAAGTCACGTCCCCTAGAAAGGAACATTTTTGTCTGCAGTGCATGCATTTCAGTGTAGGTAAAAAGTGTATTCAAACATAAAAAGTGCACAAAACAAAATGAATAAAAAATAAATAACCAACAGAGTAAATAAATCAAAGTCTAAATGGGCTCAGACAAGGAAGCAAATATCACAGAAAAATGATAATTAGTTCCTACATTCTTCATTAACTGTGTTTACAAGTTGCATTCCATCTGATTGGTTCTACAAGTAATACTTAGGCTTCACAATTATTGTTATTCATGAACATAACAAGAAATGTTTAAGTAATAAAAATGGCAAAATTATACAGTGTACATGTATCTTGCAGTAAGGCAGTTCAGGCCACTAAAGAAAAATTAAACTAAAATACAAACCAACAAATGTTACATGTATCTTACAGGTTTAAAAATGTGAACAATTTCAAAACAAAACTCATTCTTGAAATTCTGTTAATTTTTCCTTATTTATTACTTTTCCGAAATTTCCATAATAACAATTTCAATAATTATGATTTCAATAATTATAATTATAATTGTAATAATGCTGAGCACTGTGCTGATCAAGAAACATTTCCCTCTGGGGAGCATTTACAATGTAGTATTACATGTGTCAACTTTGACAGTGTGCTATATACATGTACAGGTAGATAAAAAGAGTTTCAGGTCTAAGAATGATCATGCTGGTCTAATAGGAAATTCTCCTAGTAAGGACAATATGGATAAAAATTAATGTTTGCATTAAACAAAATTAATGGTAGCTCATAAAAGTGAGTACAATGTACTGGTCCCTAATTTGGCCTGAAACTCTCTTCACTCTTTGTCATACCTGTACATTCTGCCTCGTCATCGTACGCACTACGAAGTCACGTGAGAAAGCACCAGCCGCTCAAGTGGTCAGTGCACTTCCCGCCTTTGCTCGAGTCGGTCAGCTCAAAACAACTAGAAGAAATATCTCGAAAGGTGCTGTGTAAGAACAGTTAAATTGAGAAATTTTCTCAATTTAGCCGTGAAGTACTTTAGGTGTCTACATACCAAACTAGAAGTACAAAATCGTCAATAGAGCTGAAAATGACAGAATCTCAACTTGCTGAAAATGGCGCTGCGCCAAGCAACGGCGAGTCGGCCATCGTCGCAGCCATCAGTTCCATGAGCAAGCTGCTCGTTTCTTCCATCACTTCACTGAAGTGACTGAATCCCCATGACTGAATCCCTCGGTCAGATGAAGGACACCACTGACCACCTTCCAATAGAGGAAGGTTATTTAGAGGAAAACGCTGAAATTGAAGAACAGCTAAAAATAGCCACCTACATGGACCAATGATCCACACAGCAGTCAGATAAAAACCAGCAATCTGGGTCTGCAGAGTCAAATAGTGGGGCTAAAAAGCCTACAAGTTCTCAAACAACTGAGCAGAGCATTAACACTGATAAATCAGAGCTCTGAATCTCAGCATGATGTTCCTGATGGGGAAATTGACCCACTGTCAGGCATTGCGAACAATCTCAAACTTGATCAAAAGAAGGCTCCTGCTATAAACGAGCAGATCGCCAAAATTGTCCATGGCTTACTGAGAGAAAAGCTTACGGACAAAGTTTTGACAGCGACACAAAATCGCTATAATACGCCAGAAAACTATGAATGTCTCACCAGCACGAAGGTCAACCATCTCATTTGGGATAAACTTAAACCAGACACGAGGTGTGCTGATATCAAGTTGCAACGAGTGCAATCCAACCTTGTCAAAGGGCTCATTCCTGTGGTTTCTATGGCTGAGAAACTTGTGCAGGCACAGGATAAAATTCCCAAAGAAGCCTTGGATGCCCCTGATTTAATAAGAGCGGCCACTGATGCCATTGCTCTGATAGGTGCCGCTAATTTCCAGTTAAACATGCAGTGCCGGGAGAACATCAAGCCGATGCAAAAAGAAGACTACAAACATATGTCCTCCAGCTCGGTCCCATTCACAGATTTCTCGTTTGGCAATGATGCTGATTTGTCTAAACAACTGAAAGATCTCGTGGAAGCCACCAAGGTCAGCAAAAAGCTTAACCCCAAAGGGGAAGGCCACAAAAGCAATGGATACAGAGGTTACAAACACGCAAAGTCCAAAGGATTTGGCTATAAGTACTCCTTGCGTGGTCCAGGCACTCAGATCAATAAACATTTAAACTGGAAAAGGCCTGGCCCCCCTTACAACAAAAACGACAAGGGAAGGAGGCCAAACAAATAGGGCCAGAAAACCCCTTAAATGAGGTAAGTTATACCACAAGTTATTTTCGAGCCGGTAGACTGCAACAATTTGTCCCAACATGGAGAGATATAACTGACGACCCAGAAGTCTTAGATTGGGTTGAGCACTGTCATTTAGAGTTCGTAGATAATGTATCCCCGGCACAGGAACTGGGTTATAAGGTCATTAAATTCAATGACACCGAATCTGCTATTATAGATTCTGATATTGTTAAACTCCTTAATAAAGGTGTATTTGTGGAGTCTCCTCACTCTCAGGGAGAAATTGTATCTTCCATTTTCCTTAGACTCAAAAAGAATGGAGTGGACTACAGGATGATCCTAAATTTAAAGGAGTTAAACCAGTTCATTGTTTATTGGCACTTCAAAATGGACTCACTTAAGACAGTGACAGAACTAATGACCCAAGGATGTTTTATGGCATCTGTTGATATAAGAGATCCATATTATACAGTGCCAATTGCCATAGAACATCAAAAATACTTGAAATTCATGTGGCGGGACAAATTGTATCAACATACCTGTCTACCAAATGGGCTGGCATCTGCCCCTAGAATCTTTACTAAACTGTTAAAACCAGTGTTTAATGTACTCAGGGAAATAGGTTATTTGTCTTCCTCGTACATAGATGATGGCCACCTTCAAGGTGCCTCATACAGGGAATGTTATGAAAATGTACTAGAAACTGTCATGTTGCTCAGGAAACTTGGGTTTTCTATTCACAAAGAAAAATCAGTGCTTGTATCATCTCAGGTCTTGACATGCCTGGGATTTGTACTTAACTCAATCATGATGACTGTGCAGCTTACTGACAGCCAAAAGGAGAAACTGAAAAATGCCTGTCTCAGCCTAGTTAACAAAGAGAATTGCACAGTCCAACAAGTGGCAGAGGTCATGGGGCTGCTAGTGTCAGGTTTGCCAGGGGTAGAACTTGACCCTTTACACTATCGCAGTCTTGAAAGAGATAAATCTAATGCCTTGAGAGAAAACAAAGGCAACTTTGGGTCTTCAATGACCCTCTCCCCCAGTTCTAGGGCAGAACTCAATTGGTGGATAACTAATGCGAACACCTCACACAAACTTATTTCTCATGGTGAACCAGAACTCCTCATTCAAACTGATGCCTCTACCAATGGCTGGGGAGGTGTGAGGGGAGACCAGAGAACAGGGAGGAGGTGGAACCAACAGGAAGCACCCCATCACACTAACTATCTAGAATTATTGGCTGTACTCTTAACATCAAAGGCTTTATGCGGAGAATGTGCTAATTTGCACATTTAGGTTCAATGTGATAATAACACCGCAGTTTGTTATAACAACAATATGGGTGGCTCAAAGTCCCCCGACTGCAACTCAGTCACAAAACACATATGGGATTATTGTGTTGAACATAACATCTGGTTAAGTGCCTCACATCTGCCAGGATGTGAAAACACTGAAGCAGATAGAGAATCTAGGCACTTTAATGACCATACTGAATGGAAGTTAGAGTCAAAAATATACCAGTCAATAACCAAGCGACATGGTCAGCCAAGCATTGATTTGTTTGCATCTCGCTTAAATAAACAATGTACAGTTTATGCCTCCTGGAGGCCTGATCCAGATGCACTGTTTGTTGATGCATTCTCTGCCAACTGGAATACTTTCTTCTTTTATGCTTTCCCTCCATTTAGCCTGATTGGGAAATGCCTGGAAAAAATTCAAGCAAACAAAGCAGAGGGAATACTGGTGGTGCCCTTCTGGACATGCCAAAGCTGGTATCCCAAACTGATGTGACTACTTGTGGCTCCTCCACTGATCATCACATCCAGGGCAACACTCCTAACACTACCAGGGTGCCAGAAACTTCACCCACTGAGGAAAAAGTTGAATCTGTTAGTATGTCATTTATGCGGAGACTCTACAAAAACAGAGGCTTTTTTGAAAGAGCAACCAACATTCTCTTGCAATCCTGGAGCCAGTCATCACAGAAACAGTATGATGCCCACATCAGGAAATGGCTTTTCTTCTACACTAGAAGGCAAGCAGATCCTATTTGCCCTACTATAAGTTTGGCTGTGGAATTTTTGACAACCCTTTATGATGAAGGATTGAGCTAAAGCTGTATAAAACCTGTAAGATGTGCCCTGTCTGCTATTTTAAACAGCCTGACTCAGCTCACTATACCTTTGGTGGGTACCCTGATGTCAAGAGGTTCATGAAGGGCGTCTTCCAAAGTAGGCCCCCTCTTCCTCGTTACAGCAAAACTTGGGATGTCAACTTGGTACTCCAGTACATTGGCACTATGGGCAACTCCCAAGAACTCTCTCTTAAGGATTTGACATTGAAACTCGTGATGTTAGTTGCTTTAACCACAGCCCAGAGAGGGCAGTCATTCCACGTTTTAGACACTCTGAACATGGTACAAGAGGAGACTGCTTATACGTTTCTGCTTGATAGTAATTTAAAACAAAGCAAACCTGGCAGAGCAACCTCTGAATTAGTCGTTAAGTTATATGCGTACCCACATGACCCCAACCTTTGTGTAGTCAACGCTTGTTCAGTATAACTTGATAAGACTAAGTTACTGTGTGGCAGTGAATCTCATTTGCTCATAACTCATCAGAAACCACATAAGAGAGCCAGCAGAGACACAATAAGATGCTGGATCCAGCAAATGATGTTGAAGGCTGGCATAAGTATTAATGTTTACAAGCCTCATAGTACCTGCTCAGCTGCAGACTCCAGGGCTAAGGTCAACACTGCCTCCCTTGCTGAGATAATGCAAACTGCTGGGTGGAGTTCAGCTGCCACCTTGCCTCAGTTTTATGATAGGGAGATTGAACAAGGTTCCTCATTTACTAACAGAGTACTCAGCCTAAGTTAAATTGTTATTAAAGAGCTTCTTCTGATTATAGCGTGTGCTATCAGTTCCTTTGAAATCTCACGTGACTTTGTAGTGCGTATGATGACGAGGCAGAATCAAAAATTAAACGAGACTTACCTTAGGTCAATGTTTGATTGGGATTCTGCCGAGTCATCAGTAGCACAAGAAGTCACATGAGAAAGCACCAGCCACTCAAGAGGTCAGTCTTTAAAGCCTTGATTGTGCTAATCAGGTAAGTAATAGCACAAGAAGTGTGGGTGGGTATAAATACCTCTACAGGGTATGGGCGTGACTTCTTGTGCTACTGATGACTCGGCAGAATCCCAATCAAACATCGACTTAAGGTAAGTCTCGTTTAATTTTTGATTATGCTACAATATTAAAGTCCCTATGACACCTATTTTTTTAAGCATTGAATTATAAATTAAAATAGAAGTATGAAGAGGGTGTCTGGTAAGATTTGTGGGTGATTCTGATGTGTCTTTGTTATTTTAAGAGGCGATAAAAGCCCAAAATTGTATTGAACTTAGACCCCCCCATCTCTCTGGCTGCGTTAAAGAGTACTGGAACCTGTGATGTAATGGTAGTAACACCAAGTTTATCAAAGAAGCAAATTGAGTGTGGAAGCTTACTGTTTACAATCTTTTTAGCCAAAAAATGCCATTTAGATGTGTAGTTTGGGGTTTTTCAAAATATAATAATACTCCTGACTCACTGAAGAATATTTCTCTCCACAAGATTCCTACTGTGACGTTGTGGCGCCAAGTCCCTCTTTGCTCAGCCGGACATTTTATCTGCGGATTATTGAGCTTGATAAAAAATTCAGAAAACTACAAAATACCACAAATGTTGCGAAAACATGTTTAAGAGTCATTATATTTTGATGTAGAATGGAAAAAAATAGGTGTCATAGGCACTTTAACTACCTGCAATACTACTTCAGTTGCACATAAATACATCTTATCAGACTCACAAATACATGTACATCTTGTCAGACTTACCAGGTTGAGCTCGCTTCATTTCATTTTTCTTTCGCATAATTTCTCTCTGAAAAGTAACATAGACAACAACATTTCATACCTGTTTGTGCAGGCTATCACAGGGTTTCAAGTCCAACTGAGACTAAATAAGCACACCCCTAGGATGAGAGCCATTTGAAGTATTTGAAAACATTTTCAATTAAAGAAAGATGTCTTGTGACTTGGCACTTAAGCATGGGACGAAAAAAAAGTTCCGAGTTCCAATGAGGAATGGAACCTCTGACCTTCACATTCTGTACCAGCCTGTTACTTTACCAGTGGGCCATAGAGGCTCTCTTTGGTGACCTAGGCCATTATTTGGTTCATGTGTGACATGCATAAAACAAGCTTGGCAACAACAGTGAGAGATTTTTTTTGGTCATGTTATGATCATGGGACAAAGAAAAATTGACCTTCTGATTCTGCACTCTGATGCTATACTACTTTTGCCGGCATAATTCATTGAAACTGTCCTGTAAATCTACATGTACAAACTTAGTTTTCAATTTAATCAAAAAATTTTGTACAGTCTGGTGTAATTCCTATACCAGAAAATGCTCAAATATTTAGTACTGTACCTGCTGTTGTAACTTCCTTTCACGGACACTGTTTGGATTGACCTGATGTACATCATCTTCATAAACACTGTTTAGTATAGAAGCAAAGACTTAGAAAAAGACAAAGACAAAGATGAAGATAAATAAATAAACACTGACCCTTGAGAGAGACAATAAAGAACATTACTATACACCTTGTGTCTCAAAGCTTCCTTTGTCTCAGACTAAGGTAATAGATCAGGGAGTAATTACCTGTACATCAACCTGATTTAATTTTTGTTTCTACTTTATTATTTTTTTTTTCAGCCAAGGGGAAAAATTGGACTTCTGTATAGCCTGTTCTACAAATGGGATCTCTGTAACTGAATGGTAACACAAGTAACTGGACTTTTAAATCAAATGGCTGCACTTTCAGAACCAATATCAAACTTTTATTTGCCCCACATTAGGAGACAAATTAAATAACATTGATTCATTTTAACATTTCGACCAATATAAATGACAATGCAATTAAAAATAAGTCAAGTTGGAAGTTGTAGCAATTAATCCTCAGAAAGTAAGATTTGCCCTCCAATTAAATTGGACAAGACAACACCATAATTACTCATCTGTATCAAAGGCAGAAAAAATAGCAGTAACAATGAGTCCAAGTAAAGGCAGTTTCTGCTTTGAAGAAAATTATATATAAACACTGTAATTAATTGGTGAGAGCACTCTCAAGTCACAACATCATGATGCAAAGAATAGAAAACTAAATTGTTCCCGCAAAAAGTAAAGGTTTAGCGTCTGTTCAAAGCCTTACTCAAATTGTCAGCAGTTCAAATAGTAATAGCAACTATTAGTAGAGCCACATGCAACCGAGAAAGAGGCCGCTGCTTTTGAGAAAAACATTTAAATGCGGCTAGTGAAGAAATGAGGGAGCTAGAGCTTCAAAAGCGGCTTACTGGTGCTGCAGGAGTTCATAATACAAATTCTAGCAGATATGTTCTTAGTTAAGCTTTTGTAGCAGGATTAAAATATCTCTAGAAAGGCTATTATTTATTTTTTTAAGGTGTCTTTGAGCAGTACTCTTCCAGCCAGTCTACCCTTGTTTTTATTTTGCTAGAGGTTCAAATCTTTTCCTTTTGTCATGCAATGCCTTTAGGCCATTATACAATGCTTTTCCTGGCGAAACTGTGGGATACCATGTTTCCTAAGAAAATCACTAGCCTGTGTATTTCTTTGAATTGTGTTTTACTTATCACACATTACTATGGATTCGTGTCTGTGCAGCTTTTCATCTTCGGAAAAAAATCAGAATGCTGACAAACTTTTACAAAGGACTACTTTTTGTTATTCTCAGGGAACAAAAGCATTTTGTCCACACTGTTACTGTGACAACAAGAAACTGTCAACTCCAGAAATACATGTACCTATGTAATGTCCTTGCAATTCAAGACAACTAAACAGCAGCAGTAGGGAGTTTACTCACCCCTGACTTTTGTGTTGAGCTATACACAACTGTTCTGTGAGAATCAAATCAAAGTGTTTGTGGCTTTCTTAGTTTCACAGTAATTAGTAATTAAGCAAAGTGGTGCTACAGTTTGCATGGCGCTGCAAATCTGTAGTTCACCACCTTATTTAGCCTCAGATTGGCCAGGTGGTCTGCCTGCTAATTATTTGTATTTGAATGTGCTTCCCAAAATTTAGATTAGAGGAAATAAATCTTAACCAAGGTTAAATCAATTTTATTATAAGCTAATCATGTTTCTAAACATTTGGTGAAGCAGGACAATTCTAACATTACTATTGAGTGATTCATTTGTCTATTTATTTGAACACTAACTTGTTTATCTAATGCATTGTGGGGTTACCAGTAATGGATGGATGTAGTAAGAAAAACTTCAGAAGGAATACTGTCAAGGTCACCATTATAAACAAATCACAGTCTTCATTTACTTCTCGTTTCACAATGGAGTCCTTCAAATCCAGGCGGACAAGCACAAACACAACTTTTCACTCAGTAAGTACAAGTTGCACTGTTTACACAGGGATTGTTGGAACCCTCATTGATATCATTAATGCTTTTGTATATCTTGCACTTCTGACCCCATGTCAAGCATCAAGTGTAAAGCACCTGGCATACTTTTTCAAGCTCATTGGCCACTTTTTTGATATCTACTATTGATATGGTTATCAATTACAGAGTGCATAAAGATGATGAATTGAGAAAACAAAAAAAGGAGTCTGATCACACGTTGCACATTTGTTTTTACAGGGAAGCATTTATGTAAGTTGGTATGCACCTGCTTGATCTATGCACTAAGCAAAACTTCATCGTAATTTAATGCTGCCCTGGCCTGTCATGGCATTTCCTTTACATTCCTGTACTTTGGGTAGGTTACCCAAAGATGTGGCTGGCCTTGATTTTCCACCTTTGCTTCCCTTTAATCTTCCAGTGGCAGGATTGATGGCCTAACAAGGCTGTGCTCTAAGAAAAATTGAATTAAGCCCAGTGCTCTGAAACTGTGAAATTCAGGGAGCCCAGCATATGCTTTGTATAAAAAAGAAAAAAAAAAAATTCCTGAATCGCCCAAAAGCAAAAGTAAGGTGCCAGGGGTCACCAGACGCTACTATACCATAGCCTTGCCCATATTTAGCATAACAACTGAGAATAAGTAATTTACTACCAAATTGTTTCTACGACCAAGAATTAGAAAACAGAATAATATGGTAAACCGTAACTATAAGTAAATAAATGTACATGTTCCAACTTTTCCTCTTTGAAATTGTCAGTGTGGCCATGCTGTGCTTATCATGCATTTGGAGGAACAAATTTGATCTGCCCCAAAAAATATAATTACTCCTAATAATTTTTTAGTTAATGACAGTATTCTGTTTTAAACAAAATAGTACCTGGTGCTTTGCTGTTTTTATACAGTGAAATGAACTACCTGTACTGTGATGAAATTTCATAACTTGTAGAGTAAAGGTATGAGCTGGTCTACATCTTTGGGGCCAATTGATTAACCACAGAATGGTAGCCCGCCAGAAAGCTCGTCTTCTCAACTGCAGAGGCCTTTTCCATGGCTTTTGTCAGGCCTGGTTAAGTTAGGAAGGTAGACAATTTTTCATACTCCTACAGCAATATAGAGCTATTGATATTCATGAATTGAAGCTAATATTGCTACATTAAAGCAATATTTGAAAGGGAAGGTCAGACTATTTCAGCAGAACAAATTTGTTTGTGAACAAATCTTACATGGTGGATTATGAATCTTAAAGAATAAATGAATAGATGACATAGAAAATCAAAACAAATTTAACTCACAGAAGGTTCAATTGGTACATGTTCTCGAGGTCTAGAAAACGTGAGGTAAGAACAAACGGAACAATCCTGATCTAACAAAGCTCGCGCTTTGGTGACTTCTTGGAGACCTGGCCAGCTGAAAAGTGTTTTCCATATTCTAGGAATGGCAGCCGGGGCAATCCTTTTTCATGCCTAATCTACGTCAATACTCCTTTCTGGTGAAGGTTGGAGCGATTAGGCATACAAATGCGATCCATTAGCTTTCATAACTATTTGATTTGGCCTGTGTAGCAATATTTCAGCACTCGTTTTTAAGAATAATTACCCAATCCTGCATAACACAACACTAGGGTGCCATTTCCGCCCTCAAAACAACGACTAGACACTCGTAGAACTATTCAAGTACAAAAATCTCTGTCCATTTCTTGGTTAAGAGCCTGGGCAAAAGTTTTGGGGATAATATGATGTCACAGACTTACGCGCGGCCATTTCGCAGTTTGAGTAATGGCGGACATTGAATCAAGGAAAACAAGTCTAAAAAAACAGACTTCCACTTCGAATTTTCATTCCAAATTTCACGAGAGTGGTAAGTAGCCAGCCAGTAAGGATTCTAAAAAGTAAAAAATATGGCAAATGCTAAATTTGGTCTCAGTAGCACTTTAACTCAGGAATTAGCTGTGCAAAATGCAAGGCAGTTGACCTGAGTTGACGTTATGCCATAATTACCCTCCTCCCAGAGCTTCAGTCCCAGGAGTTTTTGGCTTTAAGACATGAATTTAATGTAAAGAAGGAACAGTTCATCTGACTTATTTTAAAGCATGGCAAAAAGGTGAAATATAAAACTGATTCTTTTACTTGCAGTTGCAGAATGATATTGATAGTCAGTATGTTTATCAAATAAAGTACATATTATTTCTCATGCAGACTTTAAAATAATACATGTTCTGATTTCTCTCTTTAATCAGTTTTATAAAAGCAGTTTGAAGTTCCTTTCCTTTTGTTCAGAATGACTTATTTTAATTCTGACTACTTCACAGAAAAAGATTACAATCAAATTGTTTTTTAAAAAAAATTAAAAGGAAACTTGATTTTCTTCTTCCTTCTTGTCATAATAATTTGTTTTGAGGTTGTTTCACTTTTATTCACATGTAAAACCTGAAGAAAAAACATTTTGAAACAAGTACCATATTCATGAACTATTTAATTCACAAAAAGATTTGTCTGAATCAAACAATAAAAAACAACAAATATTATTTGAACAAAGTGAAACAGAAACTTCTCTCTTAACAGGAAGCACTTATTAATGCTTGCAAGTCTAAATGGAAATAAATTAAGGTCTTAAGGCATCATTGGGTCAAATAAATATTTCAAATTTTCTCTTCCACAGAATTGTGTAATTCTGCTAAAGATAAATTTTAAATTATAATAATTAATCATAAAAATTAATGAAATAAAAAAGTAACCACATTTTGAACATTTTGCTACTTCAATGTTGAGGCTTCAATGACATTTCTCTATTACCCTTAAAATACTTGTTTTTGATTGGTTTTAAATGTTTTTTTCCTTTTTTCCTGGAGGGAAAAAAGCATGCCAAGCCACATATACATCTTAACTTCTTCTTTACAAACAATAAACAAAACTCTAGTTACCAAACTGTATGGTAAGTGCTCGAAAACAAATTCTACATTGTGATTTAGTAACTTGCTACTAATTTATCAGCACTTTCTTAGTCCTAAACTTCTTGAAAACTGCAAGGATTACAGAGCTAACAGCAAGTTTGAAAGCAGAAGGTAAATACAAAATAGTGAGGGGCCAGATTTTCATAGATACTGATTTATTTCCTCAGATTACATGAAAACTGGGAACTACATTTTGGTCAAAATTAGCTTGCTGTTTCCTTAATGTTCCTGTCAACCTTCAGGCAAATTCTTACTGTAGAGGTGATTCACACAATCCACACCTGTTACTGTTACATGTAAACTCCAGCATTCAACTCCACTAAAAAAAATGGGATATGGCTGATGTACACATTTTTCTGATGGTGACTCAAGAATTGTTTGACTCTTTCATAAGCATGAAGTAATAATAGGTAGTCCGCTACAGATGGCAGACTAATCGATGATTTTGGTCACATATCAACTCTTATTCACAGCTCTGGGAATATTCATCCTTAAAAATAACTTACATAATAAAAACTCAATATAAAAAGAGCCAGAAAAGCTGTCAAATATGTAAATCTGTAACTGTGCAGTGAGGGATTACAACATGCACATGTATGATGTACATTACATATGTATGTTATACTTAAACCACTAAGGCAACAAGAGTCAAGAAGTATAAATGGAGAATACTTTTTGGAGCTATGATCAGTTGGAAAGGTGAGGAAACAATTAAGATCTCTTTCAGTGAAGAATCCATGCTGCCTTACAAAACAGTTCTACTAGCATCCTCGCCTTGAGAGAGAGAATTTACACTGTCCAAATATACTTAATGAGCTGAGTAATGCGACAAACGTGGCACTTCAAAACTGTTTCTATTTTCAATGGCAGAGAATGACAGTCAAACACTTGAAGGCTAGAACAGAACAACATTCAGTAGTTGGACAACCACAAAAAACTGTTAAGAAAGTTCTGATTACATGCAAGGAAGGATTGCTTGGAAGCCATATTAGCATGGTGCCCTTCACTTGGAAAATTGTTATCTAGTTGAACAGCTAGCTCGGTAACACTGCACTCACTCTTCTCTCTTAAAAAACTCTATACTAAAACTAGGAATTGCATCAATGGCTTACAGTAGAGGAACTATAAAAACTTCCTCTTCAGGCATTTAAAAAGTGAAAAGCAGGAAGGGCTTAATAATGCTACTGTATACAGAAGAAATAGGCTGACTGAGATTCAAATATGTAACAACTACATTAACCGTAACAAATACATTATGTACTAATCTACATGGTGAATACTTCAGGACGTATTTTAAATACTAAGAGATTCAAAAATTGCATAATTTAACGAGGATTTGCTCTCTTATTCATTTAAAACGATATCATCTTTCACCTCTTATTCACCAATGGCCAAAACAAATTGCATCTAACCACGAAACTAAACTAATTTTCAGCCAGAGGAATCGTCTTAGAATACTAAAAGTTAGGGCTATAAACCAGTTTTTCAAATTTTTCAAGTCAACTTATGATGTTAGAAGCCAAAACAACACACGATCAGATTCAAGAATTGACGGATATTTAGCATACAAATGAATACTCGAAATCAAGCTGAACAAAACAATATGATAAACATTGGTCGAACAGCAACTGTATTGAGGTTTGGCAAGAGATAGTACTAACCCTTACCCAGAGTGCATGATAAGTTATCGAAAAATCGTACTAAATTAGATGCGCAAGGTTACTTGCAACTCCCTAAGCTAATGCTAAAGGCGGAAAAGAGTAATCGGAGCTCAAGACACAAATGCATTTCTCGGATGAAGAACTTCAGGTGGAAATTTTCTGATGCAGCAAACAAAAAAATCGGACTGTTTTGAAACAGTGAGTGTATGAAAAATCCAAAAGCCGATAATCCAAATACAGGAACTTCGCTGTACAATCAGTGAAAACACCTGACACTTCTGGCCAACCCATCATAGCCTGTTTTGCTCGCTGATTATCATGGCTTGAGTCGGGGAAATGTTTTGCACTTTAGGGAGCATATGCTGTGCACTTAAAGTATAATTCGCCGTAAATAGTATTCGTCATTTTTAAAAGTTTTCACAAAATTGTGGCAAATTCGATCGAAGACAAATCAACACCCCAACACGTATTTCAAAAACACCAATCGGCAGACTTCACTTCTTTTCCGGCGATTGAATGAGTGAGCTAACTAACATACGAATTCATTTCAACTGAACGAAACATCACGGACAAAATTATTACTTCACCCTGGTATAGGTACAATACGAGAAGAATCAAGCAACATCTACCTTCCAGGAGGTCCACCCATGGTCCAAGCGCTGTGGATGACAAGTATTTGCAAAAACTTCTTAGTCATCGTCACCGACATAAAACGCCATAACGTTGCCAGGGAGTGCATAATTGTTCTGAACCGCAATATCACAGCGAAATCGTACGAAAAACGAACTGCATGTCAAACTCACCTGTTCTGGCCAAAGCTTGAAGACATAGTAAGAGATAAAAAGGTTTTGAAATTATATAAAAGTTGATGATATTTTAAATATTCCGCTCAGGAAAAAGGATAAAAACAGACGGAACTCTTATAACTGTGTTCAAACAAGAGGATCGCGGTTGTTCAAGCGTTTCGCTGCCGACCTTTGTGATTGGTCAAAAAGGATCACATGACTACAAAGCTCTCATGAGCAAATAAGGAAAGAGAGCAGTCTGAGAACGACTCACCTCTGCTTTTGGATGGCCTGGTGATGCAAACTGGCGCCTCACTTCCTTATTGTTGGAATATTCCGTTTGTAATGAGTTTGGAGAGTAACACGTAAACTTCTGAGAAAGCTTCTCTCTCTTTAGCTTTACATAAGATTTCAAATGCATGTATATGATTGCACGCGTCAGTGAGTTGCTCATGATAACCCTTGAAAAGCTTCTAAGAATTTGTAATTTGTCAATTTTTTTAAGACCTGATGAATAATTTTCCATTTTTTTACGGCAAACCATAACATATTTATCAAACCAAACTATATTTACCAAACCAAACCATATTTACCAAACCAAACCCCATTTTCGTGTTACCATCAATTTTTTCACTTCTATGATTAACCTCGGAGGACTTAAAGACAGAATATATTTCCAGAGTTTAAAGATTCTTTACGATCTCTTAATTCCTACATAGCCCATTTATTGAAAACCAAGAAGGGAAAACAAACTCAGCTTGTTATTAAGACTACTTTGACTGAGTTTGTTGGCGCAAGTCCATTTTTTCTTTTCATTAATTAACCTATGCTGAGAATTGAGATTCTCGATAGGGGGATGGCTTTTAAAGGTAACCGTTAAAAAATTTGGCCATTTTACGGCTACAGTAAACCCAAAATAATAGAAAATACTTTAAAGGTTAAAGTGCAACTAGATCCAAACTTTTTTTTTCGCTTAACGAAATAAGCGTATTTTTTGGAGTATTTCTGTGCAAAAAAATTTTTATTTGCTCAAATCTTCAATTTTCTGTGCCCAGTCAAAATACGGAAAATCGGACGCCATCTTGCCCCACGACAGAGTTTAAAGAGGAATGGCTCTAGCGGGTAATGTGACGTCAAATCGAGAACACGAAAGTCTGCATTTCACACATTTTCACTTCTTTGGGAAGGTTGTAGTCGATGTTGTCCAAAAATATGCCGACTAAGTTTGTTGTAGGAGGATGTAGCAACGTGCGAAATTTGCAAGAGGGTATCGCGCTTCAAATAAAGGTTAAATTTTGTCAATTTTTACGCACAACAACTAAATGTTTTGGCCGTTTGACGGCTACCAGTTAGTAACCCCATTGAGACCTTTGGAATGCGGAACACGACAATAAACGTCTTAAGGCTCAGTTTTTTTTTGTTTTTTTTTTGCCGTTTTACAGCTAAAAGTTAACCCCATTGAGACCCTCAGAATACGGAACACGACATTAAATCTCTACTGTTTCTTAGCAGATCTTAGGTGCTCTAAGAAGACATGCACCACTTTCTCTTTAACAATTTTTAATAACACGACATTAAATCTCCACTGTTTCTTAGCAGATCTTACGTGCTCTAAGAAGATATGCACCGCTTTCTCTTTAACAATTTTTAATAACGCTTTATGTTCAAATCATAAATCTTACGACTCTTTCATCATTGCAGTCGATAATATGCATGGCAAAATTATAGCAAGGTACTAATATAAAATAAATCTTGTTAAGCGGTAGATCTGGCATAATAATCAATTGAAAGTCCTAACTTAGATAAGCAATGCATTCTAGTAAAAAATAAATATCTGCTCATCACCCAGGGAGTGAAGGTTATTTTTTTCTTTTTTCGGTGGAGGGAGGGGGGTTCCCAGGATTTTTATGGGGGGTAAGCACAGACGGGGGAATCGTTGTGGCCACTAGCGTATAAAGGAACACTGTGCAAAGTTGATTGCCAATTAACTGCATATGGGGGGTCGGGGGAGGGATCATAAAAATATTTCAGAGCCAATGGAAGGATCAAGTAAATTTTTTCGTGACACAACCAAGCATGCGCTTACCCCTATTCAATTTTCTAAAATGCCCTTTGCGTTGTTCGTTGGCATAAGCAAACATCTTTGCAATCTTAACAGTTTCGAAAGTGTCCATAATCGATTTGTGACTTACTTCCATTTTTTCCGACACAGTCTAAAATCTCTCAGCCAGCATTCGATTGGGTCCCAACAGACAAAATCAAATCATGTCTAAATTCCTAGACGCGCTGTCTAGTTTGATGGAATTGCTATAGTTGATAAGTCTCTCGAACACAGGCCGGAACTGTTCAAAAAACCTTTTACAACATGTTATTTCGCCAAGCGCGATGCAAATATAAGAATTTGTGAAAAGATCACGAGATGCTTTAGGGATATTTTTGGCAACAAAACTTGGTGGGGGGGATCCCTCCACATTTTTGTTTGGAGGCTTCGACCTTGTGTCCCCCTCCCCTCCTGCTTTGCCGCCTATGCATATAAATTTCATGGCTCCCTTTTGGTGGTGAGTTAACAATAATCTTTTCTTGAAAGGTAATGAAACTAGTCTTAATATGATAGATTATCGGAAAAAATGTTTCCAAGGAATTCCGAGTAACTCGAACATTACGTTAATTTCCTACTAACTTGCAACAAATGTAACCTTATCTATTTCTCTCTTTTGCCAGCAAGATCGTCCATCTTACCGAAATACGATAATATGTAAATCCTCAAAGTTCATGATACTCCAAATAATTACCTAGCACAATTGTGCTTTAAATGTGCTGGCGTTCGCTACATAGATGGAGACGGATAAAGGAGTGGCCTTTGTACATCAACAGGAAAACGCCAGTGCCGCCTTAGCTTCTGTGGTTGCCTCTTGACCCACATGATGATGTGAAAGAATAAACGAAAAAACTGCGACAGGACTATCAAAGACAACAAAAGAAAGAGACATGCCGGTACAACTCCAAGTAAAGCGAGCTCAATCCACTGAAGTACTTCGAACACGCTTTTTATTGGACCACCAATTTCTGTTCCTGAGGATACTAGAGTCGCCTCAGCCAAGCTAGAGGTAGAGATGATGACCAGAGCGATAAGAGAAAATGTTTCGCAAGCGTTGGCCATGGGGTCTCTGAAGGGCCTCTTGTACAGATGATGCAACAGAATGGCCATGCATGCAAAGGTGAGACATAAGAGACGCAACATAGGATCAGCTATGAAGGAATGTAGACACAAGAGAACTAAACGCCGCGCTATTAAAACGCTTTCCCAGTACAATGCCCCTTCGTCGTCTCCGCTAGGTGGTCGAAATGGTTCGTGAAGCACTTCTTTGATTTCTTCAGCTTCTTCAAAGTGTTCATGTGAAGGTTCCTTTTTGATGCAGAATCGAATGGCCCAGTAACATAAGAACGGTAAGGGCAAGAAACAAGCCGCGGTGAGTTCTTTGGTCGATACAATACGTTCGTTTAATTTCTTTGAGCCCCAGAATAGGACGAATATAAAAGGAACGACAAACACCATGATGAAGGAAAGCAGAACATACTGCCACCATTGCCAGCAAAGGATATTCCCGTCTTGAAAAAGACGCCATTCCGATTTCGCTTGGATACAGTTCATCAGATTCAAGGACACTTCTGAAAGCTTTTCATAACCAAGAAGTAAGGTTTCTACTGTAGCTACCAGATACAAGTTGACACCTGAATTGTCAAAGCAACCAATGTAACTCATTGCTTTATGGCTGATGCAAATCATCGAAATACAAGCAATTGTTCCAAAGACTGTCAAACTGGAAAACAGTCGTTTGGTAACTGCTGTGAGCCCAGGAAAAGGACAACCAAATTTTTCGTTCAAAGTCTCAAAATTAAACAGAGATATGAACGGGCGTACAAATGTCACTGTGTTCATCAGATCTTCAGGTGAGGTGGAAATTAGTAGCAATTCTACAGTCTGGTAGAAATAAAAGATCGTTTTCACAAGTGCATGATCAAAGTGCTCTCCACTACAGCGCTGTCCGTCCGAGGAATGCAAAGACTGTGAAGGCTTACGTTCACGACTTTTAGGTCGAAACCACACAGCGTTTCGCCATAACATTTGAAATATACAAGGACGTGTAATGAGAAGGAATGACAAGCAAGCAATGTATAAGAAACTAAAGAACCAAAACCAGTTGTTGTGGCAGTTTTCCTCTTCATAACATTCAGAAGAAAACATGGCCTCAGTATAGCCCTCTATACATTGACCACAGAGGAAGCCATTTCTGTAACCATGGCAACTATTGAAGCTTCCCGGACTTGGTTCGCAATACCCCAGAGGACAAATCTCAAATTTCACGGTTGGTCGATGATCTTCTGGCTCAAGATATCCCCAAAAGTTTGGTTTTGCTTCGATCCCATGAGTGCAGTTGCCTCCATAGGGACAGGGGATGCATTTTTCGTTCACTGAAGAATCAGGAATTACGTACACTCGCTGAAGATTATATAATCCGACGGAGCATTTTTTGCAAGTAGGATTGTATGTATCTTCTGTGGGTGAGCCTGAAAGGCTAACATTAGGCGGGTTTAAT